TCCTACAGTAACAAGCCAGCTAACGCAGACCGGTGACAATAAGTAGCTGACAGTAACTGTGCGTCAGGGCCGAACGGCAGTGAGTGCGGCTGAGACGCTGAGCGAGGCTCACCGTGACTCCCGCCCGGTGTGTCACCATGCGCTCGTGTCCAGCCGGACTCAACCCCAAGCTCCGCGGAGACGCGTAACCGTGGCGTATGAGCTCTGGGCGAAAGCCGTTTGCCAAGTAATCCACATGAGGAATAACCCGTCCTCCCGGATGAATCGATCTTTAATTGAGAAGCTTTCTGTTTTTCTGTTTTGCTGAAGATCTCAACCACATCGGCCACACTGGCGGCCTGTTTATCTGGGGTTTAACAGAATCCGTTCATTTTGAGTTTAAAACCTCATTAACTCAAGTTGCTAACCCCCGTATCAGCCTCTCACTTATTTATAAAATTCGGAGCTGTCTCCCGACTGCCTTTCTCTCGTAATAATGCTATAACTATAATATAATAATAATCTAACAATAATATAATAACAATGTAATGATAATATAATAATAATCCTTGCATTTGATGTAGCTCCTTGTCACGTCATTGAGACGTCTCAACGCGCACAACAGGATACACTGTAAAGTGTAGTGACTGTGTGTTTCTCCTCACTCAGGGCTGCGTCAACTTTAAATTTGGGGTTCTCTTCGCCAGGGACGGTCAGCTGACTGATGACGAAATGTTTAGCAACGGTGAGTGTGTGAGTGTGAGCCATGGTGTGTGTGTGAGTGTGAGTCATGGTGAGTGTGAGGTGTGGTGAGTGTGTGAGTGTGAGTCATGGTGAGTGTGAGCCGTGGTGAGTGTGTGAGTGTGAGCCATGGTGAGTGTGTGAGTGTGAGCCATGGTGAGTGTGTGAGTGTGAGCCATGGTCAGTGTGTGTGTGAGTGTGAGCCATGGTGAGTGTGTGAGTGTGAGCCATGGTGAGTGTGAGTGTGAGTCATGGTGTGTGTGTGAGTGTGAGTCATGGTGAGTGTGAGGCGTGGTGAGTCTGTGAGTGTGAGTCATGGTGAGTGTGTGAGTGTGAGCCATGGTGAGTGTGTGAGTGTGAGCCATGGTGAGTGTGTGAGTGTGAGTCATGGTGTGTGTGTGAGTGTGAGTCATGGTGAGTGTGAGGCGTGGTGAGTGTGTGAGTGTGAGCCAAGGTGAGTGTGTGAGTGTGAGCCATGGTGAGTGTGTGAGTGTGAGCCATGGTGAGTGTGTGAGTGTGAGCCCTGGTGAGTGTGTGAGTGTGAGCCAAGGTGAGTGTGTGAGTGTGAGCCATGGTGAGTGAGTGAGAGTTGTGCCAAGGCGTATGAGTGAGTGTGTGTGTGTGTGAGTGTGTGCATGTGAATGTGTGAGTGTTGTGCCAGTGCGAGAGTGTGCGAGTGTGTATGAGTGTGAGCATTGAGTGAGTGCACCTGTTGGTGTGAGTGCCGGCAGTGGTGAGCTCTGCTGTACCTGGTGTGTGTGACTGTGTTTTACAGAGACGGGGAGTGAGGTTTTCCAGAAGTTCCTGAACCTGATGGGGGAGACGATTGCCCTGCGGGGCTGGATCGGCTACAGGGGCGGCCTCGACACAAAGAGTAGGGACCCCACAAACAGCCTCAAACCCCCCCCCACCCACCCACACTGCCCCACGCAGCGTCAGCCAGAGCTGACACATCACTGGGGGTGGTGGGTAGTGAGGGCACGGGGGAGAAGGGGGGCGGTGGCAAGGGAAGGGGGGGGCAAGGGGCGTGCAAGGGCGGGGGGGGGTGGTTGTGGTGAGGGGGGGGGCGAGGGCGATGGGGCGAGGGGTTGGGTCGGCGACGGAGGGGAGGCAGCAAGGGCGAAGGGGTGAGGGGAAGGGGGCAATGGGGATGGAGAGGTGGGGGCGAGGGCGGGGGGGGACTTGCAACAACCTTACTGGGGGCAGGATGGTTGCGTTTCCGCACGCCAACAGTCACTACGCTTGTCACGGATTGCAGGTGGAATTGAAGTGCAGATCAGCCACGATCTAATAGAATGGTGGAACAGACTCGAGGGGCTGAATGACCTACTCCTGTTCCTATGAGAGGCACAACCCCACCACTGGAGGCGCTGTATCAAACACGGGATTTTACTGCTGTTGCTGTTGTTGTTGTTGTAGTTGTTGTTGTGGCTGTTGTTGTTGCTGCTGCTGTTGCTGTTGTGGTTGTTGCTGCTGTTGTTGTCGTCGTTGTTTTTGTTTTTGTCCTTTAACTGTTTCTTTCTGCCATAGATGACACGACGGGGAGTCACTCCATCTACACCGTCTACCAGGGCCATGAGATCATGTTCCACGTCTCCACCATGTTACCCTACTCCAGAGAGAACAAACAGCAGGTAATCACAGTGAGTGCGAGTAACGAGAGAGAGACAGAGAGATGGTGAGAAAAAGAGCAATAGGGAGATGGTGAGAGGGAGAGAGACGGGCAAATGGTGAGAGAGAGAGAGAGAGAGGGAGGGAGATGAGAAAGAGAGAGAGAGAGACAGAGATGATGAGAGAGAGAGAGACAGGGAGATGGTGAGAGAGAGAGAGACAGGGTAATGATAAGAGAGAGAGAGAGAGGCAAGGAGATGGTGAGAGAGAGAGAGGTGAGAGAGAGAGAGAGAGAGATGGGGAGATGGTGAGAGAGAGAGAGACAGGGTAAGGAGGAGAGAGGGAGATGGTGAGAGAGAGAGAGAGAGGGAGATGGGGAGAGAGATAGTGAGAGAGAGAGAGAGACAGGGTAATGGTAAGAGAGAGAGAGAGAGAGATGGTGAGAGAGAGAGAGAGAGGGAGATGGTGAGAGAGAGGGGGGTCTGCGTGTGATTGATGCGAGGGGTCTGTGTGGGGGCTTCCTGACCACAGAGCCGCCAGTCTGCAGGTCGCTGATGATATCAGCGCTGAACACCTCGTACTTAGCGTCGTAAACGACAGCGAACGACAGAGGTTTTATTGTCGGAGACAGTCAGTACAGGAGACCGGTAATTTCCGGCTGCTCTCGGCCTCGATGCCCTGTATCTGTCACTGCTGTTGTAACGTGATCAGCGTTCTGACACCCGATTTACACCCTGTAAAATCTCTGTAGTGCAGTGGTTAGAGCGCTCGCCTCGCTAGCGAGAGGACCCGGGTTCCATTCCCGGGCAGCGCGAAACCTGGGACAACGTTCCTTACTCCACAAACAGGACTCCGTTTAGATCGCTTTTCCTGCGATAATAAACCCTTCAAATTAAATAAATGAAATAGTAATAACGGTTATGTGGGCACTCAATCCACGACTGTTCGCGGGACACTGCTGTGTGCAATCGCTGCTGCTTTTTACCCACCAAATGATAATAATAATCTAATAACAATCCTCGCATTTGATACAGCGCCTTATCGCGGCTTCGAGACGTCTCAAAAGCGCTTCGCGGGCTATACCGTAAAGCGAATTGACTGTGAATTTGTGGGCGAAATGTGGGAGCCAATTGCGCACGGCAGCGTCCCACAAACAGTCGTGGATTGAAGTGATCCCAGGTCTCTCGCCTGCGAGGCGAGTGTTCTAACCACCGAGCTACAGGACTCCTGTAAAAATACACAGTCACTCCACTTTACAACAGACTGAGCTCCTCATGTCGTAGGTGTACTGTTGCCCGAAAGTGTTTAGCCACAGGTTGGTGAGTGAGGGTGAAGGGGGTGGGTGGGGGTGACGGGGATGAGCGTGGGGCTGTGGGGGTGAGGGGTTAACGGCCGATGTTTAACTCCTTGTTTCCCAGGTGGAGAGGAAGCGACACATCGGGAACGATATTGTGACAATCGTCCTGCAGGAAGGGGATGACGCCTCCTCGTCCTTCAAACCCTCCATGATCCGCTCGCACTTCACACGTATCCTCTCCCCCACTCTGCCCCCCCCACACCCCCCCACTCCCCGCCCTTCCCCCCCTGTGCGGGACGCTGGCCCGGACAGGAACAGGGATCGAGTTTCAGACCCTCCCCTCTGCTCCGCTCTTCTGCCAGGTCCCTGGAACATTCTTGTTGCTGTGTCAATGAGCTCGAGTGTGTGGGGAGTGATAGTTGCAATGCTCCCAGCAGCTCCCTCATCACCCCCCAGCCTCCCCCCCCCAATAAAGAGGTGGGGTGGGAGCTGGGGGGTGAGGGGGGAGCTGCTGGGGGCATTGCAAATATCACTCCCCACGCACTTGATCTCCCCGCTCTCCACAGCACCGTTTGCTGTTATTAACACGCAGTCACTACACTTTATAGTATATCCTCTGAAGCGCTTTGAGACGTCTTAACGCCGTGATAAGGCGCTGTATCAAATGCAAGGAATTATTATTAATATTATTCATTATTAATATTATTAATATTATAAATCTGAACATTGCAGTTCCCCTCCACCTCCCCTCGACCCACCACAACCCATTGATGTTTTGCTCCAGGGGAGGGGGAGGGAGTGGGGTGAGTGAATCATTGTGGGCACCTCCGCCTCTCTCCATGAGGCTGGTCAGAACCCTGCGCTGGGTTGTTGCTTCTGTTGTTGTTGTTGTTGTTGTTCCTGCTATTGGTGAAACAAGAAGCTTTTTTTCTTTAGCTCGCGCCCCCACCTCAGATATTTTTGCCTTAGTTCGTTACAACAGAGAAAATGAGAGCTACCGGTAAGGAAATCTTTAATTGTTTGGGTGACTTTGGGGTTGGGGCTGGACTTGGGGCTGGGTCTTGTGTTGGGGTTGGGGCTGGGGTTGGGGTTGGGGTTGGGGCTGGGGTTGGGGGTGGGGTTGGGGTTGGGGCTGGGGTTGGGGGTGGGGTTGGGCTGGGGCTGGGGTTGGGGGTGGGACTGGGACTGGGGTTGGGGTTGGGGGTGGGGTTGGGGCTGGGGGTGGGGTTGGGGTGGGGGTGGGGTGGGGGTGGGGCTGGTTATTATTGTCGCTGGTTTCTCTGATGATGATGATGATGATGATGATGATGATGGAACCTGTGATTTGTCTCCAGGCTGAAGATCTTCTCAGAGGAAAGTGTTCCGCTCTTCGGTCCCCCTCTGCCCTCCCCCCCGGTCTTCACTGATCATCAGGAGTTCAGAGACTTTGTGTTAGTCAAGTGTAAGTCCACCACTCCCTCCCCCACCCCTCACCTCCCCCACCACACACACACACACACACACACACACTCTGCTCCCCCCTCCCCACACACACTCTCCCCCCCCCCACCCCATGCACAAACATATTCACACTGGTAGGTGGAGGTGGAGGTGGTGGTGGTGTGCGGAGGGGATGACGAGGTGTGTATAAAGTGACAAGTTGTTGGGGTGGGGGTGCGGGTGAGGAACGCCACTCTCTCTCTCTCTCTCTCTCTCTCTGTTGTTGTTGTCAGTAATAAATGGAGAGAAAGCCACACTGGAGACACCGACCTTCTCCCAGAAACGCCAGCGGACCCTGGACATGCTGATCCGCTCCCTGTACCAGGACCTGATGCCCGACCTGCACAAGGTACCAGCCTGACACCAGCCCCTCACCCCAACCACACTGTATCCCTGCCCGCTATTGCCCACCGCACTCACCCACCATCCCCTGCCCACCACTCCCCCGCCCACCATTGCCCCCACCACCACACCCTCTATCTCACACCTCCCCACACTCCACCATTGCCCACCCTGCCATTGCCCACCCCCGCCATTGCCCTCGCCCGCCATTGCCCACCCCCGCCAATGCCCACCCCCGCCATTGCCCTCCCCCCCATTGCCCACCCCCGCCATTGCCCACCCCCCCCCTCCAATGTGAATGCTGTGAATTCTCTCAATTGCTCGCCGTGCGCAAATGAGCTGCGGCATTTCGGCCACAGAACACAGTCACTTCACTTTACGCTCAAATCCTACGAAGCGCTTTTGAGACCCGACGTCCTCTCAACATGACAAGGCGCTGTAATCAAATGCGAGGATGATTATTATTACTTTCATTATGGTTTTATTATTTTTTATTATTATTATTTTATTATTATTATTATTATTATTTTTATGGCTCGTCTCAATGTCACATTTTTTTCCTTCTTAGGAAATGAATGAAATCCAACTTGGCTGGATAACAGTGAGAGAATTTCTGATTTTATTCCATAAACATCAGCAATTTCATCAACCCCTCCTCCCTCCCCCACCCCTGCTCCCCCCTCCCCAACTGCCCCCTCCCCCCATCCCCCTCTCCCTCCTCCCTCCGCGCTACCTTTGAACAGTGCCCAATGTCACCAAAATGCTCCTCCCATCCCCCATCGCATCACTCATTGTAAACCAGGGCTGGTGTGTGTGTGTGTGTGACTTTGTGTGTGTGCACGGGTGAGCTTGTTTGACGTCCTGTGTGTGTGTGAGTGTGTGTGAGTGTGTGTGAGGGTGTGTTTGTACTCCTGAGTGAGTGTGTGTGAGGGTGTGTTTGTACTCCTGAGTGAGTGTATGTGAGAGTGTTTTTACTCCTGTGTGTGTGTGAGTGTGTTTGTACTCCTTTGTGTGTGAGTGTGTGATGTATGGTGGTGTTTATACTCCTGTGTGTGTGCGCGTGTGAGAGGGAGTGTGTTTGTACGCGAGTGTGTGTGTGTGTGTGTGTGTGTGTGTGTGCCGGTTGGGGGGGGGGTGTTTACTTGGCCTCTCGCTGTGTGTTCTCTAGAACATGCTGAACCGTCGCTCGTTCAGTGACGTGCTCCCGGACTCCCCCAAATCAACCCGCAAGAAAGAGGAAGCCCGGCAGGCGGAGTTTGTGCGAATTGGTCAAGTAGGTTTTAGCCTGTAACAGGCCGGTGGGCTGAATGGCCTCCTCCTGTCCCCGTGTTGATCTGTCCCTGTGTTGGCTGTTTGCTGAGCAAGCGCTCGTGGGCTTGGAGTAGCCAGGAGAGGAGTCACCCAGTGTTCCCCAACCGAAGGACCCATCGTTCATCAGCAAAACTGAATGACGCTCAGGGTGTGTGGCCTCCTGCACTGTGACCCCCTTCAACAGCACAACAAATTATATTGGTTAACTGGAATGCATTGCCTGAAAGGCCGGTGGAAGCCGATCCGATAACAACTTTTAAGAGAGAAGTAGATAATTATTTTGGGAGGACAAGTTTGCAGAGCTATGGGGAGAGCGCGTGGGCAGTGGGGTTGATCAGGGCTATGGGGAGAGCGGGGGAGTGGGGTTGATCAGGGCTATGGGGAGAGAGTGGGGGAGTGGGGTTGATCAGGGCTATGGGGAGAGAGCGGGGGAGTGGGGTTGATCAGGGCTATGGGGAGAGAGTGGGGGGAGTGGGGTTGATTTGGAAACTCTTCAAAGAACCGTCACAGACACGATGGGCCAAATGGTCTCCTTCTGTGCTGTATGATTCTATGATAAAGCGCCTTTCATGTCAGGGGGACATCCCAAGGAGCTGAACAGTCAGAGATCAGAGATCAGAGATCCACATCGGAGCTGGGGATCAGGAGGGGGGGAGGGGGGGAGGATAGGGGCAGGAGGGAGACTGAAAGCACAGTTGAAGAGGAGGGTCTTGAAGGAGGCGAGGGAGGGGCGAGCCGGAGGGACTGTGGATGGAGTTCCAGAAGGTGGGGCAGAGAGACTGAAAGCACGACCGTCGAGAGTGGGGCGGGCAAGGTGAGGGACGTGAAGCAGGTCAGAGCCCTCTGAGCGGAGGGAGCAGATAGGTTGGTAGGAAGTTAAGAGGTCACAGAGATAGTGGGGGAGCAAGGCCATGGAGGGCGTTGAAGGTGAGAACCTTCTTCAACCATGCCATCTGCCACCACCCTTCCCCTCCCCTCCTTCTCCCCCCTCCCCCCCGGCCCCAGCTCGGGTCTGAAATGCTGTACGCTGTCCCGCGCCTTGGGACGTCCTCCCGACGTGAAAGGCGCTATACAAGTGTAATCTCGCTGCTGCTGCTGTTGTTGGAATGTGAGGTTAACGGCTTAAGTTTGCTAACAAAACACACAGTCACTACGCTTTGCAGTATATCCCGTGAAGCGCTTTGAGACGTCTCGACGACGCGATAAGGCGCTGTATCGAATGCTGGGATTATTATTATTATTATTCAATGACCAGCTGCTGTGAGCCGGTGGCGCCCTCCAGTGGAGGTGTCCCAACGCTGCGGCAGCCACCGCTGCCCTCTGTCCAGCTGCCAAACGTCCATATTGTTGTTGTTGTTGTTGTCCTACAATAAAGCCATCTCTGTTTAGGTTCTTAAACTGAAGACAATAGTGCGAGGCGATGCTCCCACCAGTCTGGTGACCACAGGGATGTACAGGAAAGAGGTGAGTGACCTGAACCCTAAGTAATATTCGAGGCTGACGCTCCTGTAGGGTGAAGGGAGGGGGTGTGGGTGGGGGGGGGGGCGCTGCATTGTCAGAGATGCCGTCCTTCGGGTGAGATGTTAACCCTCTCTCCCGTCTGTGCCCTCCGTCAAGAGTGTGTGAGTGTGGCGTGTATGCATGCATGTGCGTGTGTGTGTTTGCGTGTGTGTGGTGTGCGCGTGATTGTGACGTGTGAGTGAGCGTGGTGCGTGTGTGCTTGTGTGTTGTGCGCGTATGTGGATGTACTACTGTTTGTGGGACAGTGCTGTGCGCAATTGGCTGCCGCGTTCGCCCACAAATCCACAGTCACCACACTTTACAGTATACCCTGTGAAGCGCTTTGAGACGTCTCGATGACACCATATCAAATGCAATCATTACTATTATTGTTATTATACTATATATATTTGCGCGGGTGTTTGTGAGTGTGTGGTGTGATATATAATGAGGTATCAGCTTATAATGTTCGGAACCCCCCCACCCTCTCTCTCTCTCTCTCCCCCCCCGGAGCCCTGGGAGTCCCAGTGTTCTGCAGTAACTTCCCCATGAAATCATCTGCAGCGATTCCTGGGGACCAGCATTGCTCATCTCCACTGAGTCCGGAGTGATCTTACTGGAAGGTTAGTGTTGTCTCGAAATTCCCCCATCAGCAGCGAACCATCTCCTCCCCTCTCTGTTGTTGTTGTCAGTAATAAATGGAGAGAAAGCCACACTGGAGACACCGACCTTCTCCCAGAAACGCCAGCGGACCCTGGACATGCTGATCCGCTCCCTGTACCAGGACCTGATGCCCGACCTGCACAAGGTACCAGCCTGACACCAGCCCCTCACCCCAACCACACTGTATCCCTGCCCGCTATTGCCCACCGCACTCACCCACCATTCCCCTGCCCACCACTCCCCCCCACCATTGCCCCCACCACCACACCCTCTATCTCACACCTCCCCACACTCCACCATTGCCCACCCTGCCATTGCCCACCCCCGCCATTGCCCTCGCCCGCATTGCCCACCCCGCCAATGCCCACCCCGCCATTGCCCTCCCCCCCATTGCCCACCCCCGCCATTGCCCACCCCCCCCTCCAATGTGAATGCTGTGAATTCTCTCAATTGCTCGCCGTGCGCAAATGAGCTGCGGCATTTCGGCCACAGAACACAGTCACTTCACTTTACGCTCAAATCCTACGAAGCGCTTTTGAGACCCGACGTCCTCTCAACATGACAAGGCGCTGTAATCAAATGCGAGGATGATTATTATTACTTTCGTTATGGTTTTATTATTTTTATTATTATTATTTATTATTATTATTATTATTATTTTATGGCTCGTCTCAATGTCACATTGTTTTCCTTCTTAGGAAATGAATGAAATCCAACTTGGCTGGATAACAGTGAGAGAATTTCTGATTTTATTCCATAAACATCAGCAATTTCATCAACCCCTCCTCCCTCCCCCACCCCTGCTCCCCCCTCCCCAACTGCCCCTCCCCCCATCCCCCTCTCCCTCCTCCCTCCGCGCTACCTTTGAACAGTGCCCAATGTCACCAAAATGCTCCTCCCATCCCCCATCGCATCACTCATTGTAAACCAGGGCTGGTGTGTGTGTGTGTGTGACTTTGTGTGTGTGCACGGGTGAGCTTGTTTGACGTCCTGTGTGTGTGTGAGTGTGTGTGAGTGTGTGTGAGGGTGTGTTTGTACTCCTGAGTGAGTGTGTGTGAGGGTGTGTTTGTACTCCTGAGTGAGTGTATGTGAGAGTGTTTTTACTCCTGTGTGTGTGTGAGTGTGTTTGTACTCCTGTATGTGAGAGAGAGAGAGAGAGGGAGATGGTGAGGGAGAGGGGGTCTGCGTGTGATTGATGCGAGGGGTCTGTGTGGGGGCTTCCTGACCACAGAGCCGCCAGTCTGCAGGTCGCTGATGATATCAGCGCTGAACACCTCGTACTTAGCGTCGTAAACGACAGCGAACGACAGAGGTTTTATTGTCGGAGACAGTCAGTACAGGAGACCGGTAATTTCCGGCTGCTCTCGGCCTCGATGCCCTGTATCTGTCACTGCTGTGTAACGTGATCAGCGTTCTGACACCCGATTTACACCCTGTAAAATCTCTGTAGTGCAGTGTTAGAGCGCTCGCCTCGCTAGCGAGAGGACCCGGGTTCCATTCCCGGCAGCGCTGGGACAACGTTCCTTACTCCACAAACAGGACTCCGTTTAGATCGCTTTTCCTGCGATAATAAACCCTTCAAATTAAATAAATGAAATAGTAATAACGGTAATGTGGGCACTCAATCCACGACTGTTCGCGGGACACTGCTGTGTGAGCTGCTGCTTTTTACCCACCAAATGATAATAATCTAATAACAATCCTCGCATTTGATACAGCGCCTTATCGCGGCTTCGAGACGTCTCAAAAGCGCTTCGCGGGCTATATACCGTAAAGCGAAATTGACTGTGAATTTGTGGGCGAAATGTGGCAGCCAATTGCGCGCAGCAGCGTCCCACAAACAGTCGTGGATTGAAGTGATCCCAGGTCTCTCGCCTGCGAGGCGAGTGTGTAAGAAAGTAAAAATACACAGTCACTCCACTTTACAACAGACAGAGCTCCTCATGTCGTAGGTGTACTGTGCCCGAAAGTGTTTAGCCACAGGTTGGTGAGTGAGGGTGAAGGGGGTGGGTGGGGGTGAGGGGGGTGACGGGGATGAGCGTGGGGCTGTGGGGGTGAGGGGTTAACGGCCGATGTTTAACTCCTTGTTTCCCAGGTGGAGAGGAAGCGACACATCGGGAACGATATTGTGACAATCGTCCTGCAGGAAGGGGATGACGCCTCCTCGTCCTTCAAACCCTCCATGATCCGCTCGCACTTCACACGTATCCTCTCCCCCACTCTGCCCCCCCACACCCCCCCACTCCCCGCCCTTCCCCCCTGTGCGGACGCTGGCCCGGACAGGAACAGGGATCGAGTTTCAGACCCTCCCCTCTGCTCCGCTCTTCTGCCAGGTCCCTGGAACATTCTTGTTGCTGTGTCAATGAGCTCGAGTGTGTGGGAGTGATAGTTGCAATGCTCCGCAGCTCCCTCATCACCCCCAGCCTCCCCCCCCAATAAGGAGGTGGGGTGGGAGCTGGGGCGTGAGGGGGGAGCTGCTGGGGGCATTGCAAATATCACTCCCCACGCACTTGATCTCCCCGCTCTCCACAGCACCGTTTGCTGTTATTAACACGCAGTCACTACACTTTATAGTATATCCTCTGAAGCGCTTTGAGACGTCTTAACGCCGTGATAAGGCGCTGTATCAAATGCAAGGAATTATTATTAATATTATCATTATTAATATTATTAATATATAAATCTGAACATTGCAGTTCCCCTCCACCTCCCCGCGACCCACCACAACCCATTGATGTTTTGCTCCAGGGAGGGGAGGGAGTGGGGTGAGTGAATCATTGTGGGCACCTCCGCCTCTCCATGAGGCTGGTCAGAACCCTGCGCTGGGTTGTTGCTCTTCTGTTGTTGTTGTGTTGTTGTTCCTGCTATTGGTGAAACAAGAAGCTTTTTTTCTTTAGCTCGCGCCCCCACCTCAGATATTTTTGCCTTAGTTCGTTACAACAGAGAAAATGAGAGCTACCGGTAAGGAAATCTTTAATTGTTTGGGTGACTTTGGGGTTGGGGCTGGACTTGGGCTGGGTCTTGTGTTGGGGTTGGGCTGGGGTTGGGGTTGGGGTTGGGGCTGGGTTGGGGCTGGGTTGGGGTTGGGGCTGGGGTTGGGGGTGGGGTGGGGCTGGGCTGGGGTGGGTGGGACTGGGACTGGGGTTGGGGTTGGGGGTGGGGTTGGGGCTGGGGTGGGGTTGGGGTGGGGTGGGGTGGGGTGGGGCTGGTTATTATTGTCGCTGGTTTCTCTGATGATGATGATGATGATGGATGATGATGGAACCTGTGATTTGTCTCCAGGCTGAAGATCTTCTCAGAGGAAAGTGTTCCGCTCTTCGGTCCCCCTCTGCCCTCCCCCCCGGTCTTCACTGATCATCAGGAGTTCAGAGACTTTGGTGTTAGTCAAGTGTAAGTCCACCACTCCCTCCCCCACCCCTCACCTCCCCCACCACACACACACACACACACACACACACACTCTGCTCCCCCCTCCCCACACACACTCTCCCCCCCCACCCCATGCACAAACATATTCACACTGGTAGGTGGAGGTGGAGGTGGTGGTGGTGTGCGGAGGGGATGACGAGGTGTGTATAAAGTGACAAGTTGTTGGGGTGGGGGTGCGGGTGAGGAACGCCACTCGCTCTCTCTCTCTCTCTCTCTCTCTCTGTTGTTGTTGTCAGTAATAAATGGAGAGAAAGCCACACTGGAGACACCGACCTTCTCCCAGAAACGCCAGCGGACCCTGGACATGCTGATCCGCTCCCTGTACCAGGACCTGATGCCCGACCTGCACAAGGTACCAGCCTGACACCAGCCCCTCACCCCAACCACACTGTATCCCTGCCCGCTATTGCCCACCGCACTCACCCACCATCCCCTGCCCACCACTCCCCCGCCCACCATTGCCCCCACCACCACACCCTCTATCTCACACCTCCCCACACTCCACCATTGCCCACCCTGCCATTGCCCACCCCCGCCATTGCCCTCGCCCGCCATTGCCCACCCCCGCCAATGCCCACCCCGCCATTGCCCTCCCCCGCCATTGCCCACCCCCGCCATTGCCCACCCCCCCCTCCAATGTGAATGCTGTGAATTCTCTCAATTGCTCGCCGTGCGCAAATGAGCTGCGGCATTTCGGCCACAGAACACAGTCACTTCACTTTACGCTCAAATCCTACGAAGCGCTTTTGAGACCCGACGTCCTCTCAACATGACAAGGCGCTGTAATCAAATGCGAGGATGATTATTATTACTTTCGTTATGGTTTTATTATTTTTTATTATTATTATTTTATTATTATTATTATTATTTTTATGGCTCGTCTCAATGTCACATTGTTTTCCTTCTTAGGAAATGAATGAAATCCAACTTGGCTGGATAACAGTGAGAGAATTTCTGATTTTATTCCATAAACATCAGCAATTTCATCAACCCCTCCTCCCTCCCCCACCCCTGCTCCCCCCTCCCCAACTGCCCCCTCCCCCCATCCCCCTCTCCCTCCTCCCTCCGCGCTACCTTTGAACAGTGCCCAATGTCACCAAAATGCTCCTCCCATCCCCCATCGCATCACTCATTGTAAACCAGGGCTGGTGTGTGTGTGTGTGTGACTTTGTGTGTGTGCACGGGTGAGCTTGTTTGACGTCCTGTGTGTGTGTGAGTGTGTGTGAGTGTGTGTGAGGGTGTGTTTGTACTCCTGAGTGAGTGTGTGTGAGGGTGTGTTTGTACTCCTGAGTGAGTGTATGTGAGAGTGTTTTTACTCCTGTGTGTGTGTGAGTGTGTTTGTACTCCTTTGTGTGTGAGTGTGTTTGTACTCCTGTATGTGTGTGAGTGTGTTTATACTCCTGTGTGTGTGCGCGTGTGAGAGGGAGTGTGTTTGTACGCGAGTGTGTGTGTGTGTGTGGTGTGTGTGTGTGCCGGTTGGGGGGGGGGTGTTTACTTGGCCTCTCGCTGTGTGTTCTCTAGAACATGCTGAACCGTCGCTCGTTCAGTGACGTGCTCCCGGACTCCCCCAAATCAACCCGCAAGAAAGAGGAAGCCCGGCAGGCGGAGTTTGTGCGAATTGGTCAAGTAGGTTTTAGCCTGTAACAGGCCGGTGGGCTGAATGGCCTCCTCCTGTCCCCGTGTTGATCTGTCCCTGTGTTGGCTGTTTGCTGAGCAAGCGCTCGTGGGCTTGGAGTAGCCAGGAGAGGAGTCACCCAGTGTTCCCCAACCGAGGGACCCATCGTTCATCAGCAAAACTGAATGACGCTCAGGGTGTGTGGCCTCCTGCACTGTGACCCCCTTCAACAACACAACAAATTATATTGGTTAACTGGAATGCATTGCCTGAAAGGCCGGTGGAAGCCGATCCGATAACAACTTTTAAGAGAGAAGTAGATAATTATTTTGGGAGGACAAGTTTGCAGAGCTATGGGGAGAGCGCGTGGGCAGTGGGGTTGATCAGGGCTATGGGGAGAGCGGGGGAGTGGGGTTGATCAGGGCTATGGGGAGAGAGTGGGGGAGTGGGGTTGATCAGGGCTATGGGGAGAGCGCGGGGGAGTGGGGTTGATCAGGGCTATGGGGAGAGAGCGGGGGAGTGGGGTTGATTTGGAAACTCTTCAAAGAACCGTCACAGACACGATGGGCCAAATGGTCTCCTTCTGTGCTGTATGATTCTATGATAAAGTGCCTTTCATGTCAGGGGGACATCCCAAGGAGCTGAACAGTCAGAGATCAGAGATCCACATCGGAGCTGGGGATCAGGAGGGGGGGAAGGGGGGAGGATAGGGGCAGGAGGGAGACTGAAAGCACAGTTGAAGAGGAGGGTCTTGAAGGAGGCGAGGGAGGGGGCGAGCCGGAGGGACTGTGGGATGGAGTTCCAGAAGGTGGGGGCAGAGAGACTGAAAGCACGACCGTCAAGAGTGGGGCGGGCAAGGTGAGGGACGTGAAGCAGGTCAGAGCCCTCTGAGCGGAGGGAGCAGATAGGTTGGTAGGAAGTTAAGAGGTCACAGAGATAGTGGGGAGCAAGGCCATGGAGGGCGTTGAAGGTGAGAACCTTCTTCAACCATGCCATCTGCCACCCCCCTTCCCCTCCCCTCCCTTCTCCCCCCTCCCCCCCCGGCCCCAGCTCGGGTCTGAAATGCTGTACGCTGTCCCGCGCCTTGGGACGTCCTCCCGACGTGAAAGGCGCTATACAAGTGTAATCTCGCTGCTGCTGCTGTTGTTGGAATGTGAGGTTAACGGCTTAAGTTTGCTAACAAAACACACAGTCACTACGCTTTGCAGTATATCCGTGAAGCGCTTTGAGACGTCTCGACGACGCGATAAGGCGCTGTATCGAATGCTGGGATTATTATTATTATTATTATTATTCAATGACCAGCTGCTGTGAGCCGGTGGCGCCCTCCAGTGGAGGTGTCCCAACGCTGCGGCAGCCACCGCTGCCCTCTGTCCAGCTGCCAAACGTCCATATTGTTGTTGTTGTCCTACAATAAAGCCATCTCTGTTTAGGTTCTTAAACTGAAGACAATAGTGCGAGGCGATGCTCCCACCAGTCTGGTGACCACAGGGATGTACAGGAAAGAGGTGAGTGACCTGAACCCTAAGTAATAGTCGAGGCTGACGCTCCTGTAGGGTGAAGGGGAGGGGGGGGGGGGGGGGGCGCTGCATTGTCAGAGATGCCGTCCTTCGGGTGAGATGTTAAACCCTCTCTCCCCGTCTGTGCCCTCCGTCAAGAGTGTGTGAGTGTGGCGTGTGTGCATGCATGTGCGTGTGTGTGTTTGCGTGTGTGTGGTGTGCGCGTGATTGTGACGTGTGAGTGAGCGTGGTGTGCGTGTGCTTGTGTGTTGTGCACGTATGTGGATGTACTACTGTTTGTGGGACAGTGCTGTGCGCAATTGGCTGCCGCGTTTCGCCCACAAAATCCACAGTCACCACACTTTACAGTATACCCTGTGAAGCGCTTTGAGACGTCTCGATGACACCATATCAAATGCAATCATTACTATTATTGTTATTATTACTATTATATATTTGCGCGGGTGGTTTGTGAGTGTGTGGTGTGATATATAATGAGGTATCAGCTTATAATGTTCGGAACACCCCCCCCCACCCTCTCTCTCTCTCTCTCTCCCCCCCGGAGCCCTGGGAGTCCCAGTGTTTCTGCAGTAACTTCCCCCATGAAATCATCTGCAGCGATTCCTGGGGACCAGCATTGCTCATCTCCACCGAGTCCGGAGTGATCTTACTGGAAGGTTAGTGTTGCCTCGAAATTCCCCCATCAGCAGCGAACCATCTCCTCCCCTTCCCTTCCCTTTCCCCTTCCATAGGAATTGCGAGTCGAAAAAAGACCGAGATCCATCCAGTTTGTCTTCCACCATCCTTTCTCTCTCCCTCCTCTCTCTCTCTCCCCGCCCTCCCACTCCCTCTCTCAGCCCCCACCCCCTCCCTCTCTCCCCCTCCTTTCTTCCCCCCCTATCTATCTCTCCTCTCCTGGCACGTGTCATGTCTCGAACTGCTCACGTACTGTATCCCGAGATATTATTCCCAAACAGAAATCTATCTCATTTGCATTTGAAAGGATCGAGACTTTCTGCTTCCACCTTCCGTCTCTGTAGGGGAGTCCGTTCCCTCGATTTACCGTCCTGTGACGCTAACGGGAGTTCCCTCCCAGGCTGTCCTGGCCGACGGTGAATGAAATCAGTCGCTCGCTTTGTAGCTGTTTGTCGCTCGAAGGGAAAACAATAGTAATTTGGTCAGTCAGCCCACGACTGTTTGCAGGACGATGCTGTGAGGAATTGACTGCCGCGTTTGCCTACAAGATACCCAGTCGCTGCACTTCACAGTAAATTCGCCCACAAAATACACAGTCACTACACTTCACAGTAAATTCCCTTGTGAAGTGCTTTAAGGCGTCTCGGCGACGTGATGAGGGGCTGAGTGAAATGTCGGGAACATTCTCTCTGTGACGGCTGTGAGGTGCTGTGTAATGAATGCGCTGTGAGGCGCTGTGTAATGAATGCGCTGTGAGGTGCTGTGTAATGAATGCGCTTGGGGCGCTGTGTAATGAATGCGCTGTGAGGTGATGTGTAATGAATGCGCTGTGAGGCACTGTGTAATGAATGCGCTGTGAGGTGCGCTCTGTGGTGAGAGCCGCTGATGAACCGGTGTATATTTATCCAGAGGGACAAACGTCGGTGCCGGTTTTTGACCGGTCGCTGCCCGTCAAACAGGTCGACGTCCTGGAAACTCAGGATCTCCTCCTGACTCGAGCAGATAAAGGTCAGTGACCACAGCCTCTCTCTCTCTCTACCTTTATCTCTCTCTTTGACTGTTTCTTTCTCTCTACCTTTCTCTCTCTCTCTCTTTGTCCATTTCTCTATCTTTCTCTCTCCCTCTCTACCTTGGACACTCTTCCTCTATATATGTCTCTCTATAAGCCTCTCCTTTACCTTTCTCTCTACCCTTACCTCTCTCTCTCTCTCTGCCCCCCTGCCTCTATCTCCCTCCCTCTCTCTCTGCCCCCCACTCTCCCTCTCTCTCCTTCCCTCGCTCTCTGCCCCCACACCTCTCTCTCCCTACCTCTCTCACTCTCTCTCGTTCCTCCTGGTACATGACTAAGCTGATCGCTGTGGGTATTTCTCCCCCAGGGAAAGATGCCCGTTTGTTTGTCTTCAGACTGAGCGCCATTGGGAAGGTGGTGGAGGAGAGACAAGTGGCCCGGACCAAAGCTGACTGTAAAGACAATAAGCTCGAGAAAACCAAAGGCAAGTGTGTGAGGCTGGTACTGGGTGGGTGAGGCCCCAGCGCATCTCCATCACAGTCTCTCTCTGTCTGGTGTGGAGTCCTGCAGCTCAGCGGTTAGAGCACTCGCTCCGCAAGCGAGAGGACCTGGGTTCGATTCCCGGCAGGGCGAGACGTTGGGCAAGTTTCCTTACTCCACACACCTCTGTTCACCCAGCAGTAAGTAGGAACCCGGTTGTTAGTTGATTGGCGGATCTCTTTCTGGGGGGTACTAACCCCTTCAAAATAAATTTTAAATTAACTTGGTCACTTAATCCACGACTGTTTGTGGGGACGCTGCTGTGCCCAATTGGCTGCTGTGTTTCGCCCACAAAATATACAGTAAATCCACTTTACAGTATATTCTGTGAAGTGCTTTGAGACGTCTTGAAAACGTGATAAGGGGCTATATCAAATGCAAGGATTATTATTATTATTGCAGTGTTTCTCTATCACAGTGTTTCTCTCTCTATCACAGTGCTTTTCTCAACAACAGCAACAACTTGTATTTATTATAGCACCCCCCTAACACAGTGGAAATACAATACTCTCTACTGTAGTGTCTATCTCTTTATTACAGTCTTTCTTTCTCTCTCTCTATCGCAATGCTTTTCCCTCTTGCTCTATCGCAACTTCTTTTTCTCTCTCTCTGTCGCAGTGTCTCTCTCTCTCTCTCTCTCTATTGGAGTCTCTCTCTATCACTGTGTGTGTGTTTCTCTCTCTAGCGCAGTCTTTCTCTTTCAGCCTCTCTTTCCATTTCAGTCTCTTTCTATCTCTCTCTCAGTCTCTCTATTGCAGTGCCTCTCCCCCTCTCTCTATCACAGTGTCTCTCTTTTAGTGCCTGTGTCTCAGTATTATTCCCCTCTGTGTACAGGCTGCTATCTCTACGCCATTAACACCCATCATGGCTCCGAGCTGAGGATTGTGGTCGCCATCCGTAACAAACTGCTGCTGATCACCAAGAAGAGCCCTGTGCGGCCTGACAGCCTGGGGCAGCCGCCCCCAGCCTGGCCACAATCTCCTGTCGAGGAGTTCCAGTATATCAGGGTACAGCGCCTGACTGTCTGATACACAGCCACTCTCACTCTCTCGCCTCTCTTCCCGTCATCGTTCCCCACCGTCCTCCCATTGTAACTGTGTTGTACGCGTTTTGATGTGCGGAGGATCTACAGGACGTGATTGATTTTCTTTGATTGATTGATTGATTGATTGATTTTGGTTGATTTGGCTTGACTTGATTGACTGACTGATTGACTGATGGATCGATCAATGGATCGCTTGATCGATTGATCGATTGGTTGATTGTGCTCTGTTGCAGGAGATCTGCCTATCAGACCCCCCGGTGGTGATGACTCTGGTTGACGGCCCGACCAGGGAGAACGACAACCTGATCTGCGTTGCGTACAGACACCAGTTTGACCTGGTGAACGAGAGCACAGGAGAGTCATACCGACTGCACCATGTGGATGCCAGCAAGGTGGGACCCGAGCGCAGACCCCAACACTAACACACATTCCCCCCCACCCGCCTCGGGGCACAACCTGAACCCCAGCCTGACTGCCGCAATCCAGCCTCGCCCCAACCCCCAGCCTCGCCCCAACCCCCAGCCTCGCCCCAACCCCCAGCCTCGCCCCAACCCCCAGCCTCACCCCAACCTCAACCGACTCTGCTTTGTTGGAGATGTCAGCCTTTGGCTGAAACCTTACAGTGAGATGCAATGGCCACTGACAGCGACTGATTTGGTGATGTAATGGTTTGTGGCTGTCTGTTTGGCAGAGTGAGCTGAGGGTTAGGGGTCAGGGTTTGAGGAGGTGCAGTGAGCTGTCCTGAGGTGGGTGAGGCGCTGGCGACTGGGGGGGGAACGGGGGCTGAGGTCAGCCTCGCGCTCAGTCTCGGGTGTAAAGGATTCTGACTGACTGTGCCGTGCCTTTTCCAGGTGAATTTTGTGGCCGCCGTTGATCTGTATGAGGACGGGGAAGCCGGGCTGTTGTTGTGTTATAACTGTAAGTCCTCACTCTCACAGCGCTCTGCCTCGCCACTCGTGTCTTCCCCCACCCTCTGGAACTCCGTCCCGGAGCCCCTCTGCCTCGCTCTCCTCCCTCGCCTCCTTCAAGGGGCCCATCTCAAGACCTTCCTCTTCAACCGTTGCCTTTGGTCATCTTCCCCCCTCCACCTATCTTGACTCCAACCCCCAGCTCGTGAGCAAACCCTTCACTGTCCAGCCTCTTGGGACATCCTCCTGACATGAAAGGTGCTGTGTATGTGCAATTTGTTGTTGTTGTTTAATCTCCTCTGGCTGCCCCTCTAACATGAGCCCTTCTCGTCGCCGGGTCAGAAGGTTGGGGGTGGGGGTGGGAGGGGGGTGAGGGGGTAGCAATTACTTCTGAGTCACGCACCCCTGGACTAGCCGTCGATCTACGTCGTCTGTACAGCACAATTGTCCCACGGGATATGTGGAGAGGTTTCAGAGTGACGAGGGCTGAGAGAGAGTTGCACGCCCTGGTCTGACTGAACAGGGTAACTGTGAGGTGTCCCTCTCTGTGTCTCGGTCTGAGCTCTGTGCTGTGCTGCTGTGTTACAGATATCTGTTACTACAAAAAGGTCTGTACCTTCAACGGAGGCTCTCCCCTGCTCCAGCCCTCCGCTTCCGACTTCCATTTCAGCTGGAACCAAGTGCCCAACCACATAGGTATTCGCGCGCACGCTCACTGCAGCCCAGGGCTGGGCGTAGGCGGGCGATGTGTCAAGGGGTGCGACGGGAGTGGCGTGTGTTTGGGGGAGGGGTGTGTGTTTGGGGAGGGGTGTGTGTTTGGAGGAGGGGTGTGGGTTGGGGGAGGGGTGTGTGTTTGGGGGAGGGGTGTGTGTTTGGAGGAGGGGTGTGGGTTGGGGGAGGGGTGTGTGTTGGGGGAGGGGTGTGTGTTTCCAGGAGGTGTGTGTATTTGCAGGAGGGGCGTGTCTTTGGCGAGGGGTGTGTGTTTGGGGAGAGGTGTGTGTTTGGGGAGGGGTGTGCGTTGGGGGAGGGGCGTGTGTTTGCAGGAGGGGTGTATGTTTGGGGAGAGGTGTGTGTTTGGGGAGGGGTGTGCGTTGGGGGAGGGGCGTGTGTTTGCAGGAGGGGTGTATGTTTGGGGAGGGGTGTGTGTTTGGAGGAGAGGCGTGTGTTTGGAGGAGGGGTGTGTTTGCGGGCGGGGCGTGTGTTTGCGGGCGGGGCGTGTGTTTGGGGCGGGGCGTGTGTTTGCGGGCGGGGCGTGTGTTTGCGGGCGGGGCGTGTGTTTGCGGGCGGGGCGTGTGTTTGCGGGCGGGGCGTGTGTTTGCGGGCGGGGCGTGTGTTTGCGGGCGGGGCGTGTGTTTGCGGGCGGGGCGTGTGTTTGCGGGCGGGGCGTGTGTTTGCGGGCGGGGCGTGTGTTTGCGGGCGGGGCGTGTGTTTGCGGGCGAGGCGTGTGTTTGCGGGCGGGGCGTGTGTTTGCGGGCGGGCGTGTGTTTGCGGGCGGGGCGTGTGTTTGCGGGCGGGGCGTGTGTTTGGGAATGTTGTGGGGATGTGGTGAGACGCTATCCTGACGCTGCCTCTGTTCCCTGCTCCGCAGTCTGTGCGTTTCCCTATATCCTGGCGTTCACCACCGACTCCATCGAGATCCGCCTGGTGGTGAACGGGAACCTGGTGCACACCACCGTACTGCCCGAGCTCAGCCTCGCTGCCTCCCGGGTACGTCACGTCCCCGGCCCCCCAGCACCCCCCCCGGCCCCCCAGCACCCCCCGGCCCCCCAGCACCCCCCCGGCCCCCCAGCCCCCCCCGGCCCCCAGCACCCCCCCCGGCCCCCCAGCACCCCCCAGCCCCCCAGCACCCCCCCCAGCCCCCCAGCACCCCCCCCCGGCCCCCAGCACCCCCCCGCCCCCCAGCACCCCCCCCCGGCCCCCCAGCAGCCCCACCTCTGGCCCCCCCAGCCCCCCAGCACCCCCCCGGCCCCCCAGCACCCCCCCCCGGCCCCCCAGCACCCCCCCCCGGCCCCCCAGCACCCCCCCCGGCCCCCCAGCAGCCCCCCCGGCACCCCAGCACCCCCACCTCTGGCCCCCCCAGCACCCCCACCTCTGGCCCCCCCAGCCCCCCAGCACCCCCCACTCTGGCCCCCCCCAGCACCCCCACCTCTGGCCCCCCCTGGTCCCCAGCACCCCCACCTCTGGCCCCCCCAGCACCCCCCCCTCTGGCCCCCGCGGCCCCCCAGCACCCCCCCTCTGGCCCCCGCGGCCCCTCAGAGAGACATCAGAATATACTGGAAAGTGGAGTGACTTGGAGCTTTATGGCCTTTTAATGTGATGAAGTGCGATGTAGCTGCTCGTTCTCTCTCTCTCTCTCTCTCTCGCTGAGCTGTTCCCTCTCTCTCCCTCTCTCTGACCTCTCTCTCTCTCTCTCTCTCTGGTGCAGTCGGACATTTACTTTGCGTGCGCGGCCTCCGTCCACACGGCGTCCAGCAGCAGCTCGAGGGAGAGCAGCTGTCACAACTCACCACAGACTCCGACCAGCCATGACCTGCCCCCGGCTCTGCCCCCCGCACCGCCCCCCACCCCGGGGGAGGGTAAGCAGAGCACACACAGCTCTCTCATTATTAATTGAGCACAATCCTAGTCATTCGTTGCTAATAATAATAATCCTGGAGTTTGACACAGCGCCTTATCGCGTCGTTCATACGTCTCAAAGCGCTTCACAGGATATACTGTAAAGTGCAGTGACTGTATTTTAGGGGTGAAACACGGCAGCCAATTGCGCACAGCGACATCTCCACAAACGGTCGTAAATTGAGTGACTAAATTATTATTTTCTTTGGGGGGGGGAAGGGGTTATTACCCCTGGATTGAAACCGCGAGACCCCCCGAGAGAGGGAGGGGTGAGGGAGGGAGGGGGGGAGGGAGGGAGGGAGGTGGGAAGTAAAGGTAAGAACGAGGATCTTGACCCTGTATCTGATTGATGAATTGCCGTTTGTATTCGAAGCTGAGATTCAGTGGAAGAACGTTTACAAGATTCCCCTGAGCAGCCTGGTGGGTCGGAGTATCGAGCGGCCTCTCAAATCTCCACTGACCCCAAAGCCCGTCACCACCCCAACCTCCGGGGTCACCTCAACACTCCCGGTCACCCACTCCCTGTCACTGACCCGCATGGAGATCAAGGAGATCGCTTGCAGGACACGGAAAGAGCTGTTGGGTGAGCGATGATCACAGCATCAACAACAACAGCTTGCACTTACACAGGGTAGCGTCCCAGAGCGCGATGCCAAGCTGGGGGGAGGGTGACCGTAGGCACGGTCAAAGAGGAAGGTCTTCAGGCGCGACCTGAAGACGGGGAAGGTAAGGGGAGCGAGGCGGAGGGATAGAGGAAGAGTGTTCCAGAGCTCTCGGGGCCTGTGGCTCAGTCAGTCCCTCTCTTGCCGCTTCCTGGGTCAGAAAGTGTTTAATCAGCAAAAAAAACACATCGAGAGCGAGAGTCTGGCAACCACCCCATGGTCAATGGCCAGGGTGGGGGAGCAATAATAATAACAATAGTAATAATAAAGCTCGCATTTGATACAGCGCCTTATCAAGTTGTTGAGACGTCTCAACGCGCTTCAGAGGATACTCTGTAAAGTGGAGTGACTGTGTGTTTATAATAGCAAAAAGGTGTTGCAGAGAATGGAGAGCTCCAGTGTGGGGGAAACGGTATTTGCAACTCCCTCTCTATTCCCCCAGAGGGTATGGAGGGGGAGTGCGCAGCCGGGAGGGGTTTGGGAGGGGTAGGGGGAGCGAGGGATGTAGGGGGAGGGGAGGAGAGGGGGGGGGGTAGGCAGAGGGGAGGGGGATGCGAGGAGAGGGGGAGTACAGGAGGCAGAGGGGAGTGGAGGGAGGGAGCTGGGGAGGGTAGGGGAGGAGAGGTGGGGGTAGGCAGAGGGTAGGGGAGGATGGAGGGGATGGAGGAGAGATGAGCGGCTGCTCAATTTGAGTGTTCTTGTTCAAACTCAGGCCTGATGAGTGAACCCACTGCACCCAAATTGGACAGTGCCCCCAAAGCCAAGAAGTGGAACTGGAAACCGGTGGAGGAGGAGACCAGACCAGGGGCACTGAGCTCAGCCAACGTCGAGAGGTAGGAGACTTGGCCATGCCCAAAGCGCCGCCACATTGGCAGAGAAACACACACACACGCACACACACACACCACGCTTGTTACAGGTGCATGTGACGCACTTTGTGTATCTTGCGGAAGAACATGGAATGTCGAAGCATACACAGTCACTCCACCTCACAGCGTGAAGCGCTTTGAGACGTCTCAACGACGTGATAAGGCGCCATATCAAATGCAAGGATAATGATAATGATTCCAGACGCTGACTCAAACGTGAGTTCAATATTTATTATTATTATAAGTGCTGTGTGAGGGCCCTTAAAAATGCAAGTTGTTGTTATGTTATTACAGTTTAATTCTCCGTGTAACTTCTTAACAGTTTGCAGTGATCAGTCAGCCAGAGCCCCCGCACTCCCCCAATTACATAGGAATAGATGTTCCTTTTTTAAATCTGTTTGGACTTCCTAAAATAGCTACTTTCGGCAGGAGATTGCCATTTTGTTCACCAATTGTCCTGTCAAACCCTTTCTGAATAGTCTTTATTAACAGTCTCAGTTGCGCTGTTGATTATAGGAACGATGTTTGTTTTACATTGCAACGTATAAAAGAATGTGGTAATGTAAAAGAATGCAATAATACATTGATGTCACCGAATATTGTATTATTCGTTTATTCAACATTATTACAATTATATTATAATTTTACAATGTAAAATAATATATTACGTTGCCATGTGTACAATATTTTTTATTGTTGATAATAATTATTATTGTTGTGACGGTTAACCCCCCCCCCAAAAAACGTCCTTCACCTTCCTTTCTCCCCTCCGCCCCAGGTTCCTTCCGGAAGCGAGCGAGGCGGAGTGCGAAGCGCAGCGACACCTGTCGAGCAGCTCGGATCCGGAGTCGGGGGGTCAACGAGAGGAGAGCTCCCCCCTCAGCGCCCCCTTCAAACTCAACACTTCCTTCGACGAAGACGTCATTGATCTGAAGTGATGGCATCATCGTTGGCCTCCTTGCTTCTCCTTCCCTAACTCCCTCCCTCCTTCCCCAACTCCCTCCTTCCCTAATTCCGTCCCCTCCCTCCTCAACTCCCTCCCTCCCTAACTCCCTCTATCCCTGAATCCCTTCCTCCCTAACTCTCACCCCCCCCTAACTCCCTCCCTCCATCCTTGCCTCACTCACTCCCTCCCTTCCTTACTCACCCACCTCCGGATACCCCCACCAGCCTCGCTCCCTAACTCCCTCTCTCCCTCGCTCACTAGTTCCCTCCCTCCCTCACCCACTCCCAGTTACCCCCACCCACCCCCAGCCTCCCCCTTCCCCGAGACCATTTGTCCTCTTTTTGTTTGACACACGGCAAAAAAAAAACTTTTCCTTTCCTTCCGACAAACCTACGAACTACCCCCACCCACCAAAACTGTATAGTGCATGTGTGCGCTGTTCTGTTCCGTTCTGTTCTGTCCTTCACCCTTTACTCCCTTAAGACCAGAAACCTCGGTTCTCCTATTTAATGTGAAATTCTACACTAAACTCGAGCCTTGACAGAAGTTCGGAATATTTTTGCAGGTGATTTAACTCATTATTTATTAACGTATTTATCTCATTGTGAACAAAAAGACTGTTTGGTTCGAGATGAGGTTGGAGGTTTGTTTCCATCGGTCTTTTGTGGCTTGGAAAACCCTGGGACCTTGTGCTTGTTGTTTTTTAATGATGATGATGATGATTATTATTCTTCTTATTATTTTTTGACAGTGGTTTTCACACTCCGCTCCACATGTTCTGTCCGAACCCTTACTGAGCCTTCTGTGATGGAAACGTTTAAAAAAAAAATCCACCAATTGTCTTAAAATATTGTAATGCCATTGTTTTTAATGCCAAGTAAGATGTATGTAAGATGTATTGTGTCTCAGAAAAAAAAATGTTGCCTCTGAAAAGGATTTGAAATTGATACCTACACAAATACTGTACCTATTTTCAGTGCTGTTGATGACGGCTGTATATTATAATGTGTGTATATTATAATTTTGTTTGTTGAAATGAAATAAATGATATTTAAAAAAAAGAAAGCCTTTTTTTTCTTCTCTTCGCAACTTTCGGTTGACCTGACAAGTGAATATTTTTGTTAAGTGGATTGAATTCTTTTTTATTTTCTGTCCACGTTTGATGACGTATTGAAAATTTGAGGTTGGCTTTTTGCGGCGTCGTTGTGAAAAAAAACCGCTTAAATAAAATCTGTATTTATTATCCGGGATGAGCTTGGGCTATTTTCTTTTCAAACTGGATCTTAAAACTGCAACTGCCTCGGTAACATTCGGTGACTGTGTGTGGAATCCCGTAGGGTCGTGGTTAGTGCGCTCGCCTCGCCAGCGAGAGGGCCCAGGTTCGATTCCCGGGTTGGGCGAAACCTCAGGCGAGTTTCCTTACTCCAAACGCTCTGTCTTGCGCCTTGGGACAACTTTCCGACGTGACAGGAAATGTAATTTTGTTGTTGTTATCGGTTGGTTGTTATTCTGTGAAGAGCTTTGAAATGTATCAACGATGTGATACGCCGCTATATCGACCATTATTATTAAGTAAGCTGTGCTTGGGCTCACAGAGTCGTGCTCTGGTGATGAGAATCTCGTCTCTCATCTCCAGTAAAACTCAAGAAGGCAGCTGAGAAGGCATGAAGTGGCGGGGGAGCTTTTCATGTTCTGACCTCATTAATGTCTCTAAGCTATGCCTTTACATGGATGAAGCCCTCATCTTGCATATTTTCTTGCCTCTTGACGTGAGAGGTACTTCAACCTTGGGTCAATCCTACGGGGGCAAAGTGATGAGTGGCACCTGACAATGTGCTTCACAGTTGTTCAGATATTGCACTGTGGAACATGGAACAAAAGCTCACCTCTTAAAAGCTCTTCACAGAAAACTGCTGCCAAATATAGCAACTCTATTTTAAAGGCAAAACACAGCAGCCGATTTGTGCACCAGCGGCAAACGGGAATGGCTGAGGATTTATCTTGAGGCTTGTTGGTTAGGACACCTGGGAGAAACTTTTGTTTTAAATAGTGTGAAGCGCTTTGAGATGCCTCAACGATGTGATAAGGCACATAAGATGTGATACATCAAATGCAAGGATTATCTTTATTATAAATTGGTCACTCAATTCATGACTGTTTGTGTGACGCTGCTGTGTGCAATTGCTCACAAAATATATAGTCAATTCACTATATATTCATAGTATATTCTGTGAAGCACTTTGAGACATCTCGAAGACATGATAAGGCCCTGTTTTAAATGCAAGAATTATTATTATTGGGTCTAAATTGAGCAAACAACGTGGTGCTGTGATGGGAGGATGGTCGGGAGGGGTGAGATCATCTGGACCTTTTGTGATGAGATCATTGATGTCCACAAGGCTAGGATTTGTGTTTATATAATAATAAAATATATATATAAAATATAACAAAATATACAATAAAGTGGAGTGACTGTGTACTTTGAGAGCAAATGCGGCAGCCAATTTGTGCACAGTGACATCCCACAGACAACTATGAAGTGAATGACCAACCTCATTTGGGGATTCTTGGCCAGGATGCAGGGGAGAAACCTGACAGGAGATAGATAGGTTGAACCGCCAACCTTCTGACCTGGAGACGATGGGTGATAATAACCAAGACAGCCTGGCAATTATAAAAGATGTTACATTCAATACAAAAAAGGAATTAAAGATTGCCCTGAATTCTATATTACAATTTATGAGGACATTTAGAATTACTGAAATATGATTAAATAAAGATGCTGACTGATAACCCATTGGTGCTTCAGAAAGGTCCGACTCCTAACTGAATCAAGTTTATGAATCACTTTTAACATGATCTGGTTAAAATGATTCATCCATTGCCAACATTAGTTTTAATATTTTAATCAAACGAGGCCGTTGTCATTAATTCTAGATTAAAGAATATAGCACCTTATCGCGTGGTTGAGACATCTCAAAGCGCTTCACAGAATATACTGTAAAGTGGAGTGGATGTATTTTGTGGGCAAAATGCAGCAGCCAAGTGCACACACAGTGGTGGACTGAGTGACCAAATTGCTTTTATACAATAATCTTCTATACAGCTGCAGCACCTAGAACAAATGAAACATATCGCGCAAGGTAATACTGACAAGCAAAGTGACTGTGTATTTGTAGGCGTTTACACCTAGCAAAGTGCCACAAACAGCCTAGGAATGAACGATCAATTTATCTGGAGAATTGTTTGGTCATTAAAGATCCCTCCTTTTCCCACAAATTTCTCTTCCCTCCTGCCTGGTGTCCTGGCTAACAACCCCCCACAACTGAAATTGGTTGTTCACTGTTTGTGGAACATTGCTGTGTGCAAATTGGCTGCTGCCCTCGCCTACAAATACACACAGTAACTATACTTCCGTCTAGAATCCTGTGTGGTGCTTTGCGAGACGTCTCGATGACATTATAAGGCGCTATACCAAGTTCATTGATGACTATCATTGATGCTTTAAAAAAATGGTAATTCTTGCTAAAGTCCCTCAAGGAATTCAAAATAAATCGCTGGGAAGCAATAACGATCCCATCTTGTACTCACAGCAAGTAAACACAAACATTTGATTTGATCGATTTCTGAGTGAGTGTTGCATGCAGAAACCGCCGTGCTGTTTGATGATTCAGTCGGGAGTCTGGATTATTCACCTCAAACAAGAACACACCCCGCTGTCTGCCCCCGTTAGATCTCAAGATGGTCAAATAAGAACTGACAGTCACGTAATGGAGTGATGCGATTCCATTTTGACAGCTGAGAGAGGTTTTGTGCCTTCACACCGGCGTGGCTAAGAATAAATATGGATTTTGTTTTGTCTGCCCTGTTTATTAATTCATCTAAAAAGATCACATTTTCAATAAATATTGTATTGGCAACAATCTGAACGCACAGCCCAGCAAACACGAGCTGCAAACCCCAATCTCAAACAATTTGGGCATAAATTTAATATGTTGGGAGGCAGCAAATAGAATCATCTGGAACACAGATTGAGTTAGTGGCAATTTCTGAAAGTTTCTCCTGCTGGGCTTTTAGTGCTGGAGAAATGCACTCTCTCGGACGGTTATTTTAATGTTGTTAATCCCTTCCCTCTGAGTGAGGCTGCACCACCCGGCAATACCTTCGACCATACCCCACCACCTAACTAACCGCCGTGTTGGTGATGTGGCTCTCGTCTCCAGGTCCTCACTTGGTTTATCCCCTTACGCCTCCATTTCCTTCCCCTCCTTCGAGCACCTTACCCTCCACCATCCCTCCAATCTTTCCCCTAAAATTCAAAGTCTTGAGACGTCCTCCCGACGTAAAAGGCGCTATAGAAATGCAATTTGTTCTTGTCGTTGTTGTCAAACACGCTGGAAACATTGGCTACGATCTGGCAAATCTCCCCAGAACCCTGATCTCTCTCCCCACCACCTGAAGAAGATGACCTGCAGATAAACAGCAAGTGTGCGGTGGGGAAGCATCTCCGGAGTGGACTGAATTAAAAATATAAAAATCGGGAGAGAAATACAAAGAATAACGTTCCCGAAGGCAGATTAACAGCTCGGCAACCTCGAGGGCAACAACAACAACTGGCATTTATATAGCGCCCCTCACGCAGGGTAGCTTTCCAGAGGCACACACACCGGCTCTCCATTCAGTCACAGCGACCCCAATGGATAAATATGGAGAATGTTTGAAAAAAAANTTAGGAAACACAAAATTGCAACCTTGAAGTGACCTTGTCTTTCTGCTCCAGCATTGCCTGCTCCCCAGAGCAGCTGTAACGCACTCTGTGCCCATGCAATATTCATCTCCTGCCCTGCACATGTCCGTGCAAATCAGCACGGAATCCAAAAAACTTTGCAAAGAACCAAAAGGCACTTTTGAGAGAGGGACATTCCCCTCCGTGAGAGGCGCTATCAAAGTTGTTTAGTGGCTTATGAAGTACCTGAACATTTCACCCACAAAATATACAGTCAGTTCACTTTACAGTATATTCTGTGAAGCGCTTTGAGGCGTCTTGAAGACGAGATAAGGTGCTATATCAAATGCAAGGATTATTATTATTATCATGATGTTCCTACTTGAATCAGTGTCACTATTAGTGCCATTATTATTATTATTAAAATGATATAACACTCCTTCTCCCCCACCTCCCCACCCTACTAACTGTTTCAACTGCTATAGCACACTCAATAGCAACATGGATGCAGGTTAGCTCCTCAGATCTCAAATAACAACAAAAACAACAGCAACAACAACAACGCCACATTGCATTTGTATAGTGCCTTTCACGTCAGGAAGATGTCCCAAGGTGCTGAAAGATAAGTCACAAGAGCAACATCTTGCTTACATTCCTAGAAGCAAAACAGGGTTTGGGTCATTCATACAACTATTCAGGCTCAGTCTTATAGAACATTAAACAAATTAGTTTTATTCTCACAAATCAGTGTTTTTTTTAAAAAGAAAAAACATGCTCCACATTTCAAACAACAGTCATCTGCAATTGTAACTTTTTATGCCTTTTATGAACAATGTGTTCAGTGAGGTAGCTCATTGAAAGTACAATTAATCCTTGTTGACATTCTAGCTTATACCTTATTAAAACTTAAGATTTAAAAATAGTTAACAGCGTGGAACACAATTTACATTAAATATGACAACAAAATCCTCTTGAAGACGACAGACTTGTGTATTAATAGTCTGCTCAGTCTTCCATCTTAAAATAGCCCTATAAAAATCTAGTAGTTTACAGGTCAGTGGGCTTTTAACCAGTGTTTAACAGTGTCCACGTGATCAGGCTGAAGCAGTAAGTTTTAATTCCCTTTCACTGGGGTCTAACGTGCTGCACTTGTAACCTGGATTTGTTGCATTAATTGCAACGATCGAGAGCTGCCTTAGCTTTCTGAACTCCCACTGCTTCCCAGTGCACGGAAGAAGCCACTAACTCAATCCCTGGCATCAACCCTCCAGAACCAGGCGTGGGATTCAGTCTGACACGGTGGTCACCGAGAGAGCAGGGAAGGCAAGAGCAATCTGATCACAGGAACCATCTTAAAATCAGGATGCTTATCAACAGGCAACCAATGTCAACACTTGATTAGGAGTAACTTTAAAAACTGGGAAACATGATTAAAATGAGAAAAAAAGACATTAAACATTAACAGTGGTTATTCAGTGCAGGACTGCTATCACGCGGCTCAGTCTTAAACTTCCATGTGTAAGGAGGGGGAAGACGACAGACACAGGTCTGACCAGCTGCTTCTTCTGGTCCAAGGATTTTGGTTCCGTCAGTAACATGGAACCAATGTGCGGTTGTAGACCAGGAGAGTACTGGCCAGGGTTAATAACAATCTTAAAATAAAATCTGCACATTAGGCACAGATACGACACAGCAATGACACGTAGTTCAGTAACTCAAGCCCGTGGAATGCCTTTAAAATGGTTCTCGATCTGTTCCAACGATTTCCCTTTTGTCTCAGGAACGAAGAAAATTGTGAAGAAGATGCTCAGAAAGCAGAAGCTGCCAAAGAGCCAGAAGGTCCCGTACGGAGTAATGTTATCCTAGAGTAAAAAGCAAGAGTCAGTCTGTGACTTTATATTAGAACAACAACGACAATTTATATTTGTATAATGCCTTTCATGTCAGGTGGATGTCCCAAAGCGTTGGACAGTTAGGGAATCTGGTTGGGATCAGGAGGGGTTGGAGGGCAGGGAGGGAAGGGGTAGGAGGGTGACTGAAGTAGAAATACCCAGATAACAGAGGGCTGGCCCGGGAGCATCAATTCTAGTTTGGGAGTTTCTCCCATGGCCTGACTTTCCTCTGGGTAAAACTGGTCATTCCCGGGACTTGTCTACACTCAAAGTTGCTGCTGTGTTTGGCTAAAATATATATATATATACACACACACATATATATACACACACACACCTTTAAAAAAAATCAATGTACTGGATAACTACAACAACTACTTGCATTTATATAGCGCTCCCTCACGCGGGTGGTGTCCCGGAGTGCTTAAAAACTACTGTAAAGCGCCGAGTTTTGAAACAATAAAACACTTTAAAAATCATGAATTGACTTTTTTGTTCAACACTCAGCTCTCTTTACAATTCCGTGTATTTTATGCATCACTTACCAGGTGTTGCCAGAGTGTAAAACAAAATCTGCCCTCAAACTCTGCTCATGTGCCAAGTAGCAGCTAATGATTATATCAGTATAAAATGCTTCCCTTTTACCTTTACTTCCAGCTCTTCCTCCCACTATCCCACCATCAAACTACAACAACCCAAACCACAATAACAAACAGAGACACTCACGAGAAGATTCTGGAACTCTTTAGTGACCAGAAATGCACCCATCCAGTTGACGACAACACACACCCCGCTTGCCGGGCCTCTAGCCCTGACCGGGAAGATTTCTGACATGATCAGCCACGGAACAGGACCAAAGCCAATGGCAAACCCTGAGGAGGTCAAGGAATTTAGTCACTTAATAAAACTAGTCATTAAAGTTAGAATCTGGAATGCACTGCCTGAAAGGGTGGTGGGAACAGATTCGATAGTAGGTTTCAAAAGGGAATTGGATAGTCAATTATAATAATCCTTGCATTTAATATAGGGTCTTATCACGTCTTCGAGCCATCCCACGGCAACCAGAATATACTGTAAAGCGAATTGACTGTCTAGTTTGTGGGTGAAACACGGCAACCAATTGCGTACAGCAGTGTCCTGCAAATATTCGTGGATTGATAAAGAAAAATTTGCAGGCCTATGGGGTAAGAGCGGGGGAGTGGTACTAGTTGGATAGCTCTTTGAAAGAGCAGGCACGGGCATGATGGGGCGAATGGCCTCCTTCTGTGCTGTAAGATTCCATGATTCTAGGAACACAGAATACTAAAATAAATTCTGTTATACTCTTTGGACGCTGAGTAGGTCACAACTCAAATGTAGTAATATACAACAACAACAAGATTCCATTTATAGAGCGCCTTTCACGTCAGGAGGACGTCCCAAGGCGCTGCACAGTTGGGTCAGGACCCGAGCAGGGGGGAAATGGTCAGGGTGAGGGGAGGGAAGGGAGGGAGCGAGGAGGGGGGAAATGGTCAGGGTGAGGGGAAGGGAGGGAGCGAGGAGGGGGAAGAGAGTCGAGAGGGGAGCTGAAGGCACGGTCAAAGAGAAAGGTTTTGAGACCGGCCTTGAAGGAGGAGGGGAGGAAGCGGCGAAGGCACTGGGGGATGGAGTTCCAGAGCCTGGGGGCTGAGAGGCTGAAGGCCCGACCACCGATGGTAGGGCGATTGGGGCGGGGGACGTGGAGCAGACCAGAGCCGGAGGAACGGAGGGTATGGGCAGGTAGGTAGGGGGATAGTAGGTCAGAGAGGTAGGAGGGAGCGAGGCCGTGGATGGCCTTATAGTGAGGGTGAGGATCTTGAAATCAATCCTCTGGGGGATGGGAGCCAGTGGAGGCGAGCGAGGGTGGGTGTGATGTGGTCCCGAAGCCTGGTGCGGGACAGTACACGAGATGCAGAGTTCTGAATGACCTGCAGCTTGTGGAGGGAGGTGCCGGGAAGGCCGGCGAGGAGAGAGTTCCCATAGTCCAGCCTTGAGGTGACAAAGGCGTGGACCAGGGTTTCAGCAGAGTGAGGGGACCTTATAGGATAATAATAGTCCTCGCGCTTGATTTAGCGTCTTATCACGACTTCGAGACGTCTCAAAGTGCTTACATAGCTTTTATAATAGAAACAAAATCCTAGCAGTACACAGTAGGCTCATCAGCATTTGAAAAGCAGCTAAGCGTAAAATGCAGTACCCACCTGCTATGAAGAGAATCAGACAGACAAGGGGCAGCCAGGTAGGACTGTGTGTTGCCTCAACAGCATTCTGCACAGCCAGCAGGTCAGTTCCATTGGGAACAAAGTTGTTGACGTGAGTGTGCCAGACTTTGAAATAAACCCCGAAAAGTGTTGTGCTTACAGTCATCGTCAATCCTGTAAACCACAGCGAACAAATAAGGTTAGAAACATAAAGTGGCTCCGTTCATTCATCTGTATCTAGTGCCTGTACTATGGCTTAGTCTTAGATAACTACTGTGACTCCCAAGATCTGTGCAGGACCACAATAAACACTCCTTTGTATCTCGGGGCTGTATAAATACACCATCGAGGCTCAGGTAATAAAAGACTCACCTGATATCACCAGAAGTGCTTTTCTCCCCGCTTTATCCATGACCAGTGCGGCCACAGCTGTGAAAAACACTTGAACCAGACCGACGATCACCGAACCCTCGCTACTGTTCTGAAATACAATGTGGGAGAATAACAGGCTTAACCCAGAGATAAAGGGAAAATAGTGACACTGATTCAATTGGGAACACAATAATAATAATAATAATCCTTGCGTTTGATATAGTGCCTTATCACATCCTCGAGACTTCTCAAAGCGCTTCACAGAATATCCTGTTAAGTGAATTGACTATATTTTGTGGGTGAAACGCGGCAGCTAATTGCGCAGAGCAGCGTCCCACAAACAGTTGTGGATTGAGTGACCAAATTATTATTATTTATTTTGATGGAATTATTACCCTGTAAAAGCGATCTATCAATTTACTAACAACTGGGTTTCTACTTACTGTTCGGTAAACAGAAGTGTGTGGAGTAAGGAAATTTGCTCAGCATTTCATCCTGTCGGGAATTAAACCCAGGTGCTCTCGCTAGTGAGGCCAGTGCTCTAACCACTAAGCTACAGGACTCCACATAGGTGAAACAGGAGGCTGTGCAGGCCATCAAGTGTATTCCACCATTTTAGTCCCAAAGGCCCACCTTTCTGCTAAACTTTTTAGTACCTCTACCCCTCAAGTATTTGTCTCTTGTTTTTAAACATCTCCATTGATTCTATCTCCATAGCTTTCTGAGGCAGAGCCCAGAATTCCGTGTGTGACGCAATGCTTCCTGTCCTCACTTCTAACCGTTTTAATTCTGATTTTAGTGGAATTCCCTCTATCAGAGGAAAGGTAGGGAAAATACAAGCAAAAACAATATGCCTAAAATATAACTGGCGTTCTTTATTTTCTTGGACATCTATATTTTATTTCTGGCGATGAGGCGGAATAAAACTATTAATAATAATAATAATAATAATCCTTGCATTTGATACAGCGCTTTTCACGTCGGGAGGACGTCCCAAAGCGCTTCACAGATCACACTGTAAAGTGAATTGACTGTATATTTGTGGGCGAACGCGGCAGCCAATTGCGCACAGCAATGTCCCACAAACAGTCGTAGATTGAAAATGACCAATTTATTATTGGTTTTGGTTTTGGAGGGATTATTATTAGGCTCTGTGTGGAGTAAGGAAACTTGCCCAAGGTTTGGCCCTCTGCCTGGAATTGAACTCAGGTCTCTCGCTTGCAAAGCGAGTGCTCTAACCACTGAGCTACAGGACTCCACGTATTGTATACTTACCTTAAAGTTTGCTTGCTCAAAGATAGATTCTGCATAAAACATTACTGCATTAATTCCACTCAGCTGCTGAAAAAGCATCATAAATATTCCCACACCAAAAGGCTTGTAAATTTCTGGATTTTTCAGCTCCGCAAGAGAAAGACTAGCATCCTATAAATAAAGAGAATGTAATTAAGTAAGTCATGTCAGTGGAAGTGTAATAGATCAAATGCACAATCACCCGTAGTCTTAGCAGTATTTTACTCTACACTTTCTAAACTCAGAACCCAATGGATTGTCCACATGTTCATTCCAGCTTTCCCTATAATGACCCCTAATCTCACTGCTGGGGCTGATTAGTCTAACGAACAGCAAGCGCAAAAACCTGGGAACTGCTGCTTCCTCCACAACTGTATCTACTTAATAATCCTAATAATAATAAGCCTTGCATTTGATATCTCGCCTTATCACATATTCGAGATGTCTCAAAGTGCTTCAAAGAATATACTGGAAAGTAAATTGACTCTATATTTTGTGGACGAAATACTGCAGCCAATTACACGCAGCAGTGTCCCAACAAGCAGTCATGGATTGATTGACCAAATGATTATTATTTATTTTATTTGAAGGGATTATTACTCCCGAAAAAGCGATCCACCAATCGACTAACAGCCAAGTTCCTACTCACTGCTGGGTAAACAGAGGCATGTGGAGTAAGGAAACATGCCCAACGTGTCACCCTGCCTGGGAATCAAACCTAGGTCCTCTCGTTTGCGAGCTACAGGACTCCAAAAAGATGCAAACTGCTGCTTTTCACCAGAACTGTATCTACTTAACACGTAGGAAAGCAGAAACAATAATATTACACTCCGATGTCTACATTTCCAATCGTTTTATAAACCGAGCAAATCTAGGAAAGCTGTGGCAAATGAACCACTTACAAAAAGCTGAAGAGATATGAAAGCAATATGATTGAGACATCCTTCACAGGTGTCTGTAACCTCAATTTATTAGATGGGAAATGTGCCCGCAGGTTACCACTGGCACAGGCAATTATAGAAACAACGGCCTCCCACTGGTGCTGTAATTTTCTATATTACTAAAATCGTCTACCCATTGAGCAAGTCACAGAGCCAAACACACATACTCTCCTATTGAAAAATTACCTGTTGATCACAACTCGCTTCGATCTGCTCGCATTCCCATTCGTGATTGACGTCGGGTCCCCGCAGCCACTCCAAGGCGTGGAGAGCCTCCGAGCGCTTGTTCTTACTCAGCAGGTATCTGGGCGTTTCCGGCATGAAGCACATTAGCAACAGCATGGCCGTTGGTGGAATGGAAGACAAGACTGCAAGCCAACGCCAAGCCAAGCCCATTCCTGATCAAATCAAACGAGACAAGAGTCAAATACCTGGTGTGTTATTGCAATTTCACTGTAATTCTTTCTAACTGTTATCAATGATGTTTCCGTTCACCATTACAGTAAAAATTATACCATTATAGCTTTACAATGGTCGATTTCTTAAAGCAGCCTTTCCTTGTCAAACATCTGCTCTGGTTCGGTCCCAACTTCTGTTGTACTTTTATTTCAAGCGCTCTGGGACGCTACCCCCTGTGAGGGGTGCTATATAAATGCAAGTTGTCGTAGCTTTAGAAACTGAACACAGCTCACAACATACAATTATTGTCAGCTAAGTGAAGGGTGGGTGATGGAGAAACCACGCAACCCAGAATATTATAATAATCCTTTCATTTGATAGAGCGCCTTATCACATTTTCGAGGCATCTCAAAGCGCTTCACAGAACATACTGTATACAAGTGAATTGTATATTTTGTGGGCAAAACGCAGCAGGTAATTGCATACAGCAGTATCCCGCAAACAGTCGTAGATTGAGTGACCAAATTATCATTATTTTATTTTTCGGAGAGATTATTACAACCAGAATAGCGATCCGCCAATCAACTAACAACCGGATTCCTACTTACTGCTAGGTGAACAGATGCCTGTTGAGTAAGGGAACTTGCCCAACGGTTCGACCTGCCCGTGGGATCGAAACCGGATGCTCTCGCTTGTGAGGCGAGTGCTCTAACCACTAAGCTACAGGACTTCACTGACTAACAAATATTATACTAACTACACTAACAAATATTGCAAGAGATTTGAAACAACAGCAGTCCTTAGTAAAAAATAATCATCATACCAGCAGCATAAGCACCCAGAATCCCAACAACCACCATCAGTTGAACACAGGAGCCCAGTGTCCCTCGCACTCTCGGGTGGGCCATTTCAGATATGTACACCTGAAAGAGAATTGCCCCACACACACAGTTTACATCTTTACTGGATTAGAATCATTACTGAGATAAAAATCAGAAGTTGCTGGGAACACGCAGCAGGATCAGGCAGCATCTACGGAGAGAATAAAATGAGCTAATGTTTCAGGTCCATGCCCTTTCGTCTCTGAAAACTCAGCAGGTCAGGCAGCATCTATGGAGAGAGGAAAGTGAGTTAACGTTTCAGGTCAATGACCTTTCCTCTCTACATAAATACTACCTGATCTGCTGAGGGTTCAGGGCAACTTCTGTTTTCATTTCAGATTTCCAACATCGGCAGTATTTTGCCTTTAGAATTATTACTGAGATGGGATCTTCACTGTCAACACCAAAGAAATAGCAAATGGATTCGTTTTTAATGTTGCTTTATTCATTATTGCACCTTTGACAATCCAAGATATCTATGTTTAGTTTGTTTGCTAAAGTCAGTCCACAGCCTGGAAACATGTTAAGCAACTATTTACCAAATTATTGCAAAACCCAAGTCAGATCATTCAAACCATGATGTTATGTGGAGTCCTGTAGCTCAGTGGTTAGAGCACTCGCTTTGCAAGTGAGAGACCTGAGTTTAATTCCAGGCAGAGGGCGAAACCTTGGGCAAGTTTTCTTACTCCACACAGAGCCTAATAATCCCTCCGAAAAAAATAAATAATAAAAATTGGTCATTTTCAATCTACGACTGTTTGTGGGACATTGCTGTGCGCAATTGGCTGCCGCGTTCGCCCACAAATATACAGTCAATTCACTTTACAGTATATTCTGTGAAGCGCTTTGGGACGTCCTCCCGACGTGAAAAGCGCTATATCAAATGCAAGGATTATTATTATTATTATTTCAATAGCTAACCAGAATAAAATTCATAATTCATCCATGTGATTATAAAAAAAACTGGACAGCATTCACTGTTACAATCCCAAATGGATTTTTTACACTGCTTGAATTCCTGCAGTTTATTATTGTAACAACAACAACTTGCATTTATGTAGCACCCTTCACGTGGGGTAGCGTCCCGGAGCACTTGACAGTGACTGAGTCTGACCCCAACCCAGGGGGAGAGGGAGGTGACCGTAAGCACGATCAAAAAGAAAGGTCTTTAGGCGGGATTTGAAAGCGGAGAGGGAGGGGGCAAGGCGGAGGGATTGAGGGAGAGAGAGGGGTGGGTTCCATCTCCAAGAAGACATTGGATACTCTATTTGGATAAACTGAAACAAGGACATTCTGGGACAGGAACTTTGATAAAGATCAATAAATTAATCAAGAACGGTCACAGTTTAACAAGTCACCGTGGTTTGTAAACAGTTTACTATCTAAATCCCATGACCAGTCAGCAAAATAGAATGTTCCAGTTTTAGCCCAGTTTCTCCCAGCAAAGATGAGTGGTGTCTGAAGGTTTAGTAAATAATGATGCCGCTATTCCTTTCGGTTTTATTAAGGACTAGCTGTTCCCTTTGCAGCTACGCTTGCAACCAAAGGATCCAACATGGAATGTAGATTTCAGCGCTACTACTCACAAATCATTTACACGGAATAAACATTCAGTGTACACCTTGAGCAAAACTGCCATACATGTGTGATGAGCTTGTTTAGGTCATAGCTCATCAACAATAGGAGATCCCCCACAAAACATGCCCATGACACTCCTCCATGCAAGACCTTTCCGATGAGGTATAAATCATGTCTCTGCGTCAATCTGTTATTGCGTTATTGGTGGACACACAAACAGACACACAGACAACATTTCGTCTTTATTAGTATATATATATGAATACTATAAAAAGTTGTGAAACAACTTAATTTTTCAAATCTCGGCAACAAATAATTTTGCATTAAAAAATTTGCTAATGTTAATACTATTTTAAATCGCTAGTTTATAATAATAATAATCCTTGCATTTGATATAGTGCCTAATCGTGTCTTTGAAACATCTCAAAGAGCTTCACAGAATATACTATAAAGTGAATTGACTGTGTATTTTGTGAAACATGGCAGCCAATTGTCCACAGACATTTAAAACTAGGCAATTTGAAAGCTGGATGACTCAAAATGGTGTGAAACACAGCATCCTAATAACAGCTATCTAAAATATTCACCAAACAATTATAGAGATCACAAGGCATTCTCGAGCTGCGCATTATATTTATATTCTGTTAAACTACAAGTGAATTCTAAGATATGTGCCGTACTGCCCTGACTTAATAACAATAATAAACCTTGCATTTGCTATAGCGCCTTATCACGTCTTTGAGGTGTCTCAAAACGCTTCACAGAATATACTGTAAGTGAATTGACTACACACTTGCTCTTATCATTCATACAAAGACATAATGTATACTTACAGGCACGACAAGTGATGTCAATCCACTGGCCAATCCAGTCAACACTCGGCCACCATAAAGCATGCCAACATTCTGTGCTGCGATTATCATGGTGAAGCCAAAGACAAATGGCACGGCGGACATCATTAGGCTCAGCTTTCGTCCGATTTTATCAATCATCCATCCTCCAACAATGCCACCCAGGGCAGCACCTAAAGTAATCAATGACTGAACACAGAGCATCAAATATAATTTATTGCAATTTAATTGTAAAAATGAACAGCTTTCAGTTTATTACCTCTACTTAAATTCACGTCATCTGGGCAGAGGCCAGATAATATTGGCAGTATAGAGTTGAAGACATGAAGAAACATTTTAGATACAACAACAACAAATTACTTTTGTATCTGGAGCAACTGCTTATCTTACACAGATCAACAGCTTGCATTTATATAGTGCCCCTCACACAGGGGATCGCTCCTTATAGTACCCAGTAACAGTAATAATCTCTCCAAAACCAAAAACAATAATAAATTGGTCATTTTCAATCTACGACTGTTTGTGGGACATTGCTGTGCGCAATTGGCTGCCGGGTTCACCCACATATATACAGTCAATTCACTTTACAGTGTGTTCTGTGAAGCGCTTTGGGATGGCCTCCTGACGTGAAAAGCGTTATATTAAATGTAAGGATTATTATTATTATTATTATAACAATGTCAGGCTGTCTATCACCTAGTGATCTCGATTTCCCATTTCTGGAGTAAGGTCAAAATGTTCCTGTGATGGTACACCACTTCAAGCGCTCTGGGCCGCTAGCCTGTGTGAAGGGCGCTATATAAATGCGAGTTGTTGTAATACTGGATGAAAGATGGTTCCTACAATACGTAATTTTTTTTAAAAAATTCGATAGTTTGGTTTCAGTTTTTTTTTAATAAAATTTATTCTGAAATGTCAACCATACAATACCTCACTGGTTCCTAGTTGATAAATAATGAGTAAGCATCTTAAAGTGGAACTCCATTAAACTCCCCCGCCTTGCTACAGGGTTGTCTTGGTCATAGTGCTGATTTGGATAACAACAACAACAATTTTGATGGACCTGTGCTAACCAGAAGTGCGGTACACCCAGTGTCAAGCACTGATGAGCCAGCATTGCGTGCTAAAACATAGCTAACTTCCCTATCATCAGGTCAGCACCAAAGCCACTTTGAAAAGGAAGCAACATCAACCAACACCCAGAAGTTAGCCATTGATTGAGTACTTTGCTTATAGCACAGCCTCTGTTAGATCTCTCTCCCCACCCCAACTCCCTCCCCACCATCACCACATTAATTACTTACAGCAAACCAGGATGCCTGTGTGGAATCGAGCTTGATGTTTGGATTGGGACTCTTTTGAAGATCTGGAATGGCTGGTGAACTGTAACCAAGGACGAATCCAAAACTAAGAGGTCCCAAAACAGCAGCAAACGTAGCCAAGTAAAGATTTCTATTCCTCACATTGCTGTAAAAAAAAACAAACAGATACCTTCACCTTTTAATCTGTGTTTCTAAATTTAATATAAATTGCAATGTGTGTGCAACAGTAACACTAATAATAATCTTTGGATTTGATACAGCCTAGAGAAGCCTTATCAAGTCTTCAAGACATCTAAAAGCTCTTCACAGAATATACTGGAAAGAGAATTTTGACTGTATATTTTGTGGGTGAAACGCGGCAGGCAATTGCACACAGTCCCCTTCAAGTGTCCAATTAAAATGATTTTTGTACTGCTTGGCAGATGATTTTTTTTAAAAACAAAAAACACAGTTAGAAGGAAATGAACTCTAAATAGGTCCAATGTTAAGAGGAATAAAAAGGAAAAGGCTACAAAAGACTTATTTCAACAGAACAGAGAAAAACTACCAAGGAGTGGCAGTAATGGAATAAACATACTGATGTTCTTGATGTTGCTTATAATAATCCTTGCATTTGATATTGCACTTTATCATATCTTCGCAACATCTCAAAGCGCTTCACAGAATACACTGTAAAGTGAATTGACTGTAGTTTGTGGGCCAAACACGGCAGTCAATTGTGCACAGCAGCGTCCCACAAACAGTCGTGGATTGAGTGACCAAATTATTATTTTTTGGAATAAGGAAACTTGCCCAACATTTTGCCCTGCCAGCAATCGAACCCAGGTCCTCTCGCTTGCGAGGCGAGTGCTCTAACCACAAAGCTAAGCTATAGGACTCCACTTGCAACTAAGGAAACCCTCTGGGATTCCCTTTCCTTCCTGTGGGTAAGTATAGGTCATCATTTTGTCTGTTGCCCAACTGTAAAATTTATGCAATGTTTTGCATTAATTTCACAGCTATTAAATATTAATATAGCAGGCTTTTAAAATGAGAAAACAATGCATATCCTTTTCAAAACTCCAGCTGCAATAAAACGTATTGACCTATAATATTGATCAGCAGTCACACAATGTCTAATATCCCAGTAACTGTGAAATTAATCACTGATATTGTGGGATTTTCACACTGACACAAATTGAATGAGGGTTAATGATGTTTAATATTAAATTGAATGGAGTGCAACACGACTTGGGAGAAAGAGGAAAAGTTTTCAGCTCTTTCAGCTAAAAGATTAATACAGAGCAACGCGTTGGAGTCATATGATTTGAGTGGACAAAGTGGTTTATGTGTCAGACTAATTTAGTTTAGGAAGCATGACTGCCTTCAGGCAGCAGAGAAAAACATTACAAGTGCTTATACAGCTGAAATCTCATTAACATGAGGAATTTAAGACTGACATAAGTACTGTATGATTGCTATCTTGTGACTGCAAAGTAAAAGTGCTGGTGTTTGACTACTCATCTGGTATCACGTGACAGGATAAAGTTCAGCAGGAGCAGGAGTTATTGCATACTCGGTACATACTAAACTCTACCTGGTTGGGTAACTACAAATAAATTCAGTGAACTCAACACAACCCTCTCTATCTCTGCTGATGCCCAATTAGCTGCCCAATTTCGTCCACAAAATAATCAGTCTATTCCCTTTACAGTATATGACATGCCTCGAAGACGTGTTAAGGCGCTATATCAAATGCAAGGATTATTATTATGTAAAAATGCATGTTACAACAAAATTACCCCCCCACCCCCACTCCACCCCACACACAACTGCGCAAAAACATTAACCCATCATTTTCTTTGCATTGAAATCCTGTAGATTTCCAGCATTTATTTTCATTTAAGATTCCAGTACTTGCAGTTTTATCTTTTATTTCTAACAACCGCACTTAGCAGTTCCCTAATCCAGTTCCCTAACTGACAGGTCAGGTGGCGTTCTGCAAGGTTTCTGCCAAAACTGTTCCACAGCCAACCTCTGAGATAAATTACTTGACGTATACCAAACCTATTTATTATTCCTGGAATACAGCACTCTAATTAATCTGAATAGAATGGGTGACCTGATTGACAATCGCATGACTCATTCTGTGCATAAGGTTAAACTACTATATGTATTTAAGACAATTTAGATATGTTACTTTAACCATTATTCTCACAGGTAAATCATCTTATTCTCAAATGACATCATTGTTTACTCTATGGGATAAGATTTTCAGGGGACTATTCTTTTCTACGTGAATGTTTGAGATTATGTTACTTAATTAAACTGTAACTTCAAATTCTACGACAACCATGCGCTGTAGCAGAATAATTAAGTCATACACGAAAGATCCTCAACAACCACACACACATACGAATTATCACCACTAACTGATACTTGATGGAAAGTTCCGTCAGCAATCAGTAATACTCATTTACTACGACAATTACTGTAAAAATAATAATCTTTGGATTTGATACAGTGCCTTCCACGTCTCAAAGCGCTTCACAGGATTTTACTATGTAAAGATCTAAAACTAGTTTTGTTAGTAAATAAAACAGAAAATCCTAAGAAATTGGATTGTTAGATAAATCTCATATCACAGATTAGAAAATACTACATAGGAATCTGTTGACCGAGTTTTGCATGAATGCAGGTGCCCAGAATTCCAGGGTAATACGTTTAACAATTTCAATGTACTTGTACAGCTTGAGTGAGCTAGAAATGAGTACAATCTTGGCTCAGTGACACGAAAACACTTAAGAGTTTAGTTGAACACAGGAAGCAGTCGTTACACATGACGTAGTGAATAAGTAAGAAGTGTATACAACATATACAGTCAATTCACTTTTCCAGCATATTCTGTGAAGCGCTTTGAGACATCTCAATGACATGATAAGGCACTATATCAAATGCAAGGATTGTTATTATTATTACACTGGTTATTCCAGTACGGGTGGTTGCAAATATTTGGTTCTATTAGGTGGTACAAGTTGATTTTGTGGGTCAACTGTATAACACCAGTGATATATTTTATAGGTGAAAATACATCCTCGGTAAAGACAATCCTGATGAAATTAATAATAATTCTTGCATTCTTATCACGTCATTGAAAAATTCTTAAAGGGCTTCACAGGATCAAGCCCTCTGGGGCATTACCCTGCGTGAGGAGCGCTATATAAATGCAAATTGTTGTTGATTTACTGTAAAGTGCAGGGACCGTGCATTTGTAGGCACAGCACAAACAGGCAATTTGCACACAGTAACAAGCAGCCAATAAGTGAATAAACAAATTGAATTGGGGGATTATTGCCAAGGACATAACGAGAAACTCTTTCTGAAATAGTACCATAGGATCTTTAACATCCATCTGAATAGGCACAGAGAGGACCTCGGTTTAATGTCTTATGTGGAGGACCACACCTCCAACAACGCAGCTCTCCTCCCCTGCACTGCACTGGAGTGACAGCCTATACTGTGAACACCAAATCTCCAATACAACAGCAACTTGCATTTGTATAGCACCCTCCACACAAGAGTAGCGTCTCAGAGCACTTATGAATATGGACGTGAAAGGCGTTATACAAATGTAATCTTCTTGTTGTTGTTGTTGGATGAAACCCACAACCCTGACTCAGAGACCAGGGCGCAACCAGCTAAACCAGCTAACACCTATATCATGGGACCTTTTAACATCCTCCCAGTGAAAACGCTGACCAGGAAATCATTTCAATGCAGAGAACTGCATTTCTCCAGTTACTAATCCTACTGTTTCCTGGTTGTTTGTGAGACATTGCTGGGCGCAAATCAGCTAATGCATTGGCCTACAAACGACAGCAACAACTTGCCTTCGTATAGCAGCCTTGTCGTTAGTGCAACATCTCAGAAGGCATTATACTGTACGCATCAAAGCAAATCAATCCTGTGATGGGCTTCCAGTAAGAGCTTTGGACATGGAAGTCGCTGTATCAAACTCAAGGATTGTTATATTATTATTATCACTATTATTATTTCTCGCTGGAGTGTGAGCTTGAGTCAGAGCATTGGGTAAAGAGGATGGTTGTCTGTGAAGCTTTCCCGCTGCTTGTCCAGTTAGGACCACCCAACCCGTTAGGGCTTTGGTTTGCAGGGTTAGCAGGAGCTGAGCGGGATGACTCCCCGCCCCCCAGTGACTGGTCGGCCCTCCAGGTCCTGCCGATGAGCCAGACCGGGCTGTGCTGCCATCAGCAGCGAGTGCCCTGGAACACTGCGGACCCTCCTGGCTCAGGACCCGGGCCGGAGACCCAGCACAGAGGGCCGTGGCCAGGCAAGTCACCTCGGGGGCCAGTTCAGCTCCAAGGAGACCCCACTTACCTTCACTCCACCCCACCATCGCCCCCCCCGCCATCGCCCCCCCCATCGCCCCCACCCCCACCATCATCCCCACCATCGCCCCCCCATCACCCCCACCCCCATCGCCCCCACCCCCACCAGCATCCCCACCCCCACCGTCGCCCCCACCCCCCACTCCTCACCCCCACCCCCCCCATCCCCCCACCCTCCCCCCACTCCCCCCCCCATCGCCCCCACCCATCCCCACAACCCACCTCACCCCATCCACCAAAGAGGAGAGGCTGAGGAGGGTTAAAAGTAACATGAAGAGCAAAAAAAAAGAGGCTGCGGTGTGAGGGCTGAGGTGAAGGCTGAAGCTGCACAACCACCTGAGCCCCACCTGACGCCGGGACCACCTCCCACAGCTCAGCCCCGACCAGGAAAGCCCTTCAGGTGCACAGGAGGACACCTCGCGCTGCAGTCACCCGCCCTACTGTTTCCCGGAGGGCAATGCGGCCGATGGGATGGGGGGAGTCACTCAGCACAGCGGCGGCCTAACCTGAAGTAGTGCTCTCCCTCGCTGCCGATCACCGAGGCCCCCGCCAGCAGCGGCCTGTGCTCCTCCGCCGACATCGCTCGCAGTCCAGTCCTGACTGACCTGTGCTCTGGGGCCGGACGGCACACAGCGCGAACGGCTCACGGCAGCCACGGCATCAGGCGTTATAGTGGGCGGGTACCTCCCACACAGACACCACCCCCTCCCCTCCCTCCCCTCCTCCTGCCACAAAACACAGCCCCCCCCCACACCACCCTCCCCCACCCGAGGGCCGCGGAAAGCAGAATGTTTTGTTGGGACCCGAAGCTGCGGCCAGAAATAAAACCCCGTTTGTAGCCCCAAAGAGAGCGCTGAACACTCGCCCCAAAAGTAGCCCAATATCACGAGTCGCCTCCTTGTGAATAGACAGTAAAAGTGGCCGATTTAGTGTGTGTGTGTGTGTGGAGGGGGGGGTGTGGGGGGGGTTAGTGCATGTGAGAAAAGATTTTCAAATTTAAGAAAACAAGAGCAGATTTAAATGATTATTATTTCGGGAGGAGGGCGGGTTCGATCCCCGGGTGGGTCAGGGCCAAACCTCCGGCCAGTCCCCTTACTCCCCACGCCACCGTCTGACGGCGGTCAGTAGGAACCCGGTTGTCAGTCGATTGGCGGATCACTTTCCAGGGATAACGATCCCTTCACAGTAATGATAATAATAATAATAATAATAATAACTTGGACGCCGCTGTGCGCAATTGGCTGCCGCGTTCGCCCACAAATATACAGTCAATTCACTTTACAGTGTGTTCTGTGAAGCGCTTTGGGACGTCCTCCCGACGTGAAAAGCGCTATATCAAATGCAAGGATTATTATTATCAAATGCGAGGATTTATGAGTACCACAACCCAGAAAGACGCCCGAAATTGGGCGAGAAGGCGCCCGATCCGTCAGCGATGGGGCGGGCGGGCGGGTTGTGACTGCGACACTGGCGGTTGGTCGCCCCCCCCCGCGAGCTGCTTTTTCAAATCAATCACCGCCAGCCCGCTCGGGCCGACTGGGCATGCGCACTGACGCCCCGCTCCGCCTGGCTCGAGCGGCCATCTTTGATCAAGGCAGACACAAACGGCCGGTTGCTGTGCTCCCGCTGTCATGTCGCGTCGGCAGGTCGACGGGAACGTCCCCCTCACCCCCTCCCCTCCTCCTCCTTCTTCTCCCTTCCGACCGCACACATGACATTGGAACACTTTTGACAGCAGTCACACGTTGAGCCGCGAACCCGTTTTTGTTGTTCTGTACGTTAAGACGCGCGCGCGCGCGCACACACACATACACACACGCGCACGGCGCGCGGAGCCCGGGTGAGAGAGGGCGGGAGCTCGCGAGCGCGCAGGCGCGGTTCGGGAGCGGCGGGGGTCCAGGTGGCGAGGCGAGCGAGTGCGCAGGCGCGGGTCAGTGTGCGGGCGGCCGGTGTGCGCAAGCGCGGCGGTCTGGCGGGGGCGGCGGGAGGCGAGCGAGCCCCGGGGAGACGGGTTGGGGGAGGCAGCGCGGCCCGTGTGAAGAGAGCCCCCCCTCAGGGCCGCCGCCGAGTCCGCGGCGCCGGGGGCAACTATGTGTAAATCATTCGGGAAATGGTAAGCGCAGGCGCCGCTCCTTGGTACTTGTTTGTGGGGGGGAATTTAGGGAAAATAACTGCCCCCCTCCCCCACCCCCCCCCCACACACACACCCACAGGCGGGTCTGGGTGCGGGCCTGGGTGGGGAGTGGGGTAAGAGGGTTGTATACAGGGTCTTCCCTCAGGGACAAGCATCAGCAGCCAGGCCCCATCTCACAGCCCCAGCACTTGCCATGCCGCCTGTGTATAATCGTGGACTGTAAATCCTTTGCTTTCCATGGTGTGGAAGCATCTGGAAGCCCATTGCATTGGCCGCTTTTTTTTTTCGCCTCGGAGGCGGAAGGTTGCGGGTTCGCGTCCCCCCCCCCATCCCCGCAAAGGGTCTTCGAGCCCGTGGTCTTAGGCGGACGCTCCCGATGCCGTCCTTTGGATGAGACGTCAAACCGAGGTCCCGTCTGTGCTTGTTCAAGTGGACAGCGAAGGTTCCCTGTTTGTAGGATGCTCCTGTGGGCAAATTGGCTGCCGGGTTCACCTACACAGTCACTACACTTTACAATAAATCCCGTGAAGCACTTTGCGACTCCCTCTTGATGTGAAAGTGTCTATATCCAATGCAAGGTTTATGGCACATTAACTTCTGTACGGTATAGTGCCTGTGTACTTTGTAGGTGAACACAGTTACCAATTTGCACTAAGTAATGTAAGGTAAACAGCCATGGATTGAATGACCAATTTCTCTGGAGGATTGTGGGCCAGGAATGCTCTCTTCAACTAGTGTCATGAGAGCTTTAAAGTTCACCTTGGTTTAACATCTCATCTGAAGATTATCTTTTCATAACTTTGCCAGCCCATTACCCAGTGTCATAGGCACTGTTTGTGGGAGGTCCTGTTTGCTTTTGCTTCAGATCCCTGCAGAAAGTTGGCATCCTTTCTCTTTCCTAACCCCTCCCAGATACAGGTACACACGCATGCACTCACACACTTATACAAAACCCAATAGGTTTGTAACTGGGTCAAACTGTTAAGATTTGTATTGGAAAAATCAAAAGAAGATCTGAATTTCTGAAAATGGGGAGGAGAGAGATCTCCAGGTATTTCTGATTTTGGGACTCAGATTTCTAAGTGTATCTTGAGTTGGCTGAATGGGCAGTTCATTCATCCTGGTCCCTTCTCACAGTTTGTGTGACCAGCTTCATGTCTTCATATTATTATTATTATTATTCATCTCATACCAATGTTTCAGAAAGTCTATTGAGCCATTGGCCACCCCCCTTCCCCTCCCCTCTCTTCTCTACCCCTGGCCCCAGCTCGGGTCTGAAATGCTGTACACTGTCCAGCGCCTTGGGACGTCCTCCTGACGTGAAAGGTGCTATACAAATGTAAACTTGTTGTTGTTGAGAAAACACGCATGCATTTCTAGTCTGTTGTTGTAGCTGAAACATCGCTTAGTTTGTTAAATTAGGCCTGGAGCAAAAGAAGGTTATAAAGAACCCTAATGGCTGGTATTACCTTAATGGAATTATGGGTTATTCTAAATACCAAACATTCAGTGTACTGTGCTTCCCAAATCTATAAATTTGATTTCCATCTGTAAATCTATACATTTCCCCATGTTTCTTGGAATCATTTGAGTTTTCTTACCCTCCCTCAACCCCCTCCTGCCTCTCCTGAATACATTTGATTCATTTTTCCTTTAATAGGGATTGGGGTCTATGTCCACTGATCGCTCTGGTACCTTGTCCAAGTGGTGTTTGTTCATGTGTGAGCCTTAACAGTAAACGTAGGCGGGTTATTGGAGTACATGAGACCCGACCCTGTTTTTATCCAATGTTCACACTCTCATCCTCCAGAAACCTATGTCCCAATATCTGTTTCCCCTCCCTAAGGCAGGTCATTGAGGCAAATTATAGCTCTGCCCCATCTCTATCGCTGATCAGCTAACTAGCAACTAGTCAATGATATGGGACCTTCCTGGTCTGTATGGCTCAGCTACTTGCTGAATCCACTTGCTGAGTCAGTAGAGAAATACCATAGTTATTTTGTAGCAGTGACATCATAGTACCGTACATGTTTCAGTTTATCATTGGCATTGTCTTCATTTTACTAGCGTTGAAGTATATAATGCTAATCTGCTTGCTTTTACCTTGAGAATGAAATTTCAAATTGAACGTTTGGTGATCAGTGCCCTTTGTGATGCAACATTTTCAGTGTCATAATGTTTGGTGATTTACAATTCAGGTAAAACTACTTGACCTTACATGAACCTGACTGACTTTTATTGTTTGCAAACCAAGACGAGAAACAAACAATTAGATGTGACGTTCCATGTAACCAGTTATAAGGAGCTGGAATTGACGATGCTTTTGAGGAAAACCCAAGTTGTGTGTAACGAGTTCTCAAAAATCGCAGCTGCAATTGTAGACGACTCTGCCGAAATAATAATGTATTGAAGCAAATGTAGGTGGAACATTGGGTCTCTGAGAAGTCCGAATCGAGCAATATATGAACGATTTGAAATACTGTGCACATGTTAGTTGTAGCGTTGAGTCGTAATGGAATTTTGGTTTCTGGTGCAATTCGATACTGTAATGTGTTGGAGCACCATGTGGGTTTGATTCATGCACTAGAAGTGCATACGATACCGCTGTGCAGAAATGCAATATAGGAAAGAAGTAGCCCATTCAGCCCCTCAAGCCCATTCAGCCCATTCCGCCATTTTATTAAATCATGGCTGATCTGTGCCTCAATTCCAAAAATGCACTGGGGATGGGGCACAAGGGCAGGGATGTGGACTTTGATTGACTCCTTTAGCTTTTGGTTGCAATTAATGCGACACATAACAAACAGCCTAAATAGTACCTTGTTTAGACTTGGATTAGTAATTCCAGAGCCTCAGAGGCTCCTTGATTGTTCATGTTCTCCGCTCAGGGACGCTACCCCGCATGAAGGGCGCTATATAAGTGCAAGTTGTTGCTCTGAAGATACTCAGTTACAGCTTGTTATCACACTCAAACCTACATCACACCTAATTACTGTCAACGAAGTGATTGTTTTAAAGGCAGATGCGACAGCCATCCGATAAGTGACACTTGGTTGTTTTGTTAACAACAATAACAACAAATTACATTTGTATAGCGCCTTTCACGTCAGGAGGATGTCCCAAGGTGCTGGACAGTCGGAACCGCACTGTTAAGGATAAAATTGGGCCCAGAATTTATGTTGTCCTGCAATATTTTTAGTTTTACTAAAACCCAATAGAAAGATGACGTATTTAACTTTTAATGTAGTTACAACAGAGAACTTGCATCCTTGGGTTCTGGAGGCGTTTTAAGCCTTGGAGTGAAGGGTTTACCATTCACTATGTGGCCAGATGCAGCTTTATAATAATAATAAACTTTGCTTTGATATAGCGCCTTATCATGTCTTCGAGAAGTCTCAAAGCGCTTCACAGAATACACTGTATGGTGAATTGACTATATATTTTGTGGGTGAAACATGGCAGCCAAATGCGCACAGCAGTGTCCGGCAAACAGTCGTTGATTGAAGTGACCAATTTTTTTTTGTAACGGGGTTATTACCCCCGGAAAAGCAATCCACCAATCGACTAACCACCGGGTTCCTTCTTGCTGCTAGGTAAACAGTGGCATGTGGAGTAAGGAAACTTGCCCAACATTTCACCTTCCCGGAATTGAACCCAGATCTCTCGCTTGCAAGGCGAGTGCTCTAACCACCAAGCTACAGGATTCCATATAATCATGACGATGGATCTATGACAGACTTTAAATCTTCTAAACCATATTTTGTCTGGCTTATTGCCTGGTCTGAGCAAACAGTTATTTTTGTTACAGATACTACAGTGGAGGAATAGAATTGTGAATGTTTGGTGGCTGGGAGGTGCCCAGAGATGTGCGTTGTTGTTTTCCAGTTATATTAATGATTTGTGTTCAAATCCATTCGCTCCCTGGCACCTCCCTACCTCTCCGGCGTCCTTACTCCCCAATCCACCACCCGGCTAGACTGGTACCGGCCGCCTGCTAGTCCCTTGGACCCTCCGCCCCACCATCGGAAGTCGGGCTTTCAGCCACTCCACCTCAAAATTCTGGAACACTCTCCCTCAATCCCTCCGCCTTGTCTCCTCTTTCCCCTCTTTCAAGTCCCGCCTGAAAACTTTCCTCTTCGACCGTGCTTACGGCCACCTCCCCCCGGCTCGGAGTCAGCCTCTGCCATTGTTAAAAGGTCTGGGATACTACCCTGCATGGAGGGCGCTGTATAAGTGCAAGTTGTTGTTGGAAATGGACACACAGAGCACAAATTCTTGGTGTTCTGTTGCCAATTTAGGAGCAGGGAGATAGCTAGTGCGGAAGAATACAAGCAACTTCATGCCAATTTTTTGTTGTGGGCTAAGGAAGTATTAGAGCATGTAGCTAGTAAGCATGTGTAGATATATAATGTGGTGTTAAGTACTGACATAACGTGCTTTTTTTTAACACATGCAGGTACAGTGTTGTGTGGCCATATGGAGAGAAAGGACTTTAACGCATGGCTCGAATCGCTCTCCGGCACGTTTGTCTCCCTGACAGATTCGCAGAAGAATGAGAGCCTCGACCACCTGATCAGCTTGAGTGGGGCCGTTCAGCTCAGACACCTCTCCAACAATCTGGAGACCCTTCTGAAGCGCGACTTCCTCAAACTGCTCCCACTGGAGCTGGGCTTCTACCTGTTGAAATGGCTCGACCCACCCACGTTACTCACCTGCTGCCTGGTTTGCAAGCAATGGAATAAAGTGATAAGTGCCTGTACTGAGGTGTGGCAAGAGGCCTGTCGGAGCCTGGGGTGGCAGATTGACGAATCCATTCAGGATACTCAGCACTGGAAGAAGATTTACCTCAAGGCCGTTCGGAGGGTAAAACAACTGGAGGACCAAGAAGCCTTTGAGACATCCTCTTTAATTGGCCACAGTGCTCGAGTCTACGCTCTTTACTATAAAGATGGATTGTTGTGTACAGGTCAGTACTATTATGACAAAAGGCGCAATTCAAGAACGTTTTAACAAAAAAATGAAATGTCAGGATATTTTCTGTTTCATTTAGGTTCCAAGCAGAAATAATTTGGGTCGACTAGGCACGATAACCTGAGGAATATACAGGACCCTCAAAGTTTTAAACTCCCCCTGAATCCTACACTGTATCTCTCATTCCTTACCATTCGTCAAATATATATCTAATTCCCTCTTGAATTTGCTGACTAAAGAACGAGTCTTACCAACTAAGCCAAGATCAGCCACATATAAACTAACCACCAACTGCTATGGTTAGTTGGCTTGTCTATTCCCTTATATTGACGCGTGTGTCATTAGAAAGGCAGCTGATTACATTTTGTGTGTGTGTGTTTGACCACAAGGCTCCGATGACCTATCTGCCAAGCTGTGGGATGTCTGCACCGGCCAGTGTATATACGGCATCCAGACTCACACGTGCGCTGCTGTGAAGTTCGATGCACAGAAACTTGTCACAGGATCGTTTGATAACACAATAGCCTGCTGGGACTGGAGCTCGGGAGCCAAAATTCAACACTTCCGAGGCCATACAGGGGCAGGTAGAGCAAAGCAATCCTTGTTTGTAGAAAATGCTGCGCGTTGTTGGTGCGAGTGCAATTGCTGTCAAGGTGCAAGCGGCTTTTTCAGGTGTCCAGTGGCCTTCTCTAACCTAGTCCACAACACTAGATGTTTCCTGATCTTACTTCTATGTTCAACATCACGCTCCACTGATGTTGCGTTGGTTTGTATCCCTCCACTGGTTAGGTAGAGGGCGGGGAATCAGCCAAAGTTGCCTGATTGCCAACCAGCGAGCTTCAGCCAGCAGTGGCCGTGTGTAGATGTCGGGTGAGGACTGGATTGAGCTTGACTGGAGCAGTTGAGTAACTTGGCCACGTAAGGAACAACCCATGTGAAGTAAAGGTACAAAGAGTACCATTACATTGAAGCCTTGCATAGCACAGCATAAGTGGCACAACTGCTGTCAGTATATAGGCATAAATATAATTTGTATTTAAAACAAATACTCTATGCTATTCCTCCTCCGAGGACAATTTCCTGTTTGCCAATGTTGTGCATGACTGTTGTTGTATTCCGTATCTACCACCAGAGACCCTCAGTGATCTATGCAAATTTCCAATGCCGTATTCTTCCAGAAATGGTGCCTAACCATGGAATTAAATATGGAATGATATGGTATGGAAACAGGTCATTCAGCCTGTTTAAGCCAGTGCCAGGCTACTGAACCATTTCACTTGTTTGTTTCCATTGAGGTGGGGATGTTTCTTTGCCTGTAATAATAATAATAATCCTTGCATTTGATATAGCGCTTTTCACGTCGGGAGGACGTCCCAAAGCGCTTCACAGAACACACTGTAAAGTGAATTGACTGTATATTTGTGGGCGAACGCGGCAGCCAATTGCGCACAGCAATGTCCCACAAACAGTCGAAGATTGAAAATGACCAATTTATTATTGTTTTGTTTTGGAGGGATTATTATTAGGCTCTGTGTGGAGTAAGGAAACTTGCCCAAGGTTTCGCCCTCTGCCTGGAATTGAACTCAGGTCTCTCGCTTGCAAAGCGAGTGCTCTAACCACTGAGCTACAGGACTCCTGTATTGCTTCTAGTTCATTGCTTCCTGTCACCAATACTCTCAGGGCAGCTTTCAACCCTGTTTCACTTACATGGAGAATAATGGTCACTTAGTGGCTAATCATAAAGCAGTCAGGCAAAGTTCAAGCATTTTGAAGAGTTATCTGAGCCTTGAGATTGAGGGTAGCTAAGGGCCTTAAGCTTATAAGGGCAATCAATGAGCGTTAAAAGTATTGGCTTTTGTGACCATGCAACTATGCACAATAATACTTGCGAGAATCTTTGCATTTGATATAGGCCCGTAACATAAAAACGACTGAAAGCACTTTCACAGGGAATTGCTATCAAATATAGTGACTGTTTTGTGTAGGTAAAACTGGCAGGCAATTTGCGCCTAGCAAGCCTCCGCAAACAGCCGTGAGGGGAATGGAGGATTGTTGACCTGCTGGAAAACTAGGAGAAGCTCTCCTCTTTTCCAATAGTATCAGTGGAACTTTTAATAATAATAAATACTCCTTGCATTTGATATAGCGCCTTATCACGTCTTCAAGACATCTCAAAGTGCTTCACAGAGTATACTGTAAAGTCAATTAATTATATTTTGTGGGTGAAACACGGCAGCCAATTGTGCACAGCAGTGCCGCTCAAACATTCGTGGATTGAGTGACCAAATTATTTTATTTAAAAACATTTTTTTAAAGGGATTATATTACATCCGGAAAGCGATCCGCCAATCGACTAATAACCGGGTTCCTATTTACTGCTAGGTAAACCGAGGCGTGTGGAGTAAGGAAACCTGCCTAAGGTTTCACCCACCTGATCAGCCAGATGCCGATTTTAACCCTTGCGTTTTTAATTGGTGAAGCCAGTGTTTTGAGTGTTCTGAACCATACGCTTCTGTGTTTTGTGTGCAGAAGTGCAGTCGCCGATGGGAAAGGCCCGCCCTGCAGTGTGCAGCAGAGTGTGAGAACTGCCCACATGGGAGAAATCCAGTAACCAGCACAGTTTGGGAGGTGTAAGAAATCAGGATGTTTGAGACACTTTAGTGAATTGTTTACTTTCATTTTTTTTTGGTGGTGGGTGGGGGGGAAATGTAACCAGCCTGAACTGTAATGGAAAGCGACACAGCAAAGCTGCCCAATGTGTATGTGACCTTATTGTGGACTATTCCCCCCAGAACGCACTAGATGAAGCAGAAGCAATGATGCCTCTAAGTACAGTGTTACAAGCTGGATTTCTCCACAACACAGCAGATCATGTTTCAGAACACTTGCCAGAAGATTGTGTTTTTGTGAGTAACTTTTTCGAAAAAAAAACACACACCCTGGTTGGTTCCCCTTTTTCTGTGACAGCAGGACCCTGACTTTTACACTCTGCGCTTTAGTTATAGAGTCCTGTAGTTTAGTAGTTTGAGCATTCGCCTCGCAAGCGAGAGGACCTGGGTTGAATTCCAGGGCAGTGCAAAACATTGTGCAAGCTTCCTTACTCCACACACCACATGCTTCTCTGTTTACCGAGCAATAAGTAGGAACCTGGTTGTTTTCGATTAGCGGATCGCTTTTCTGGGAGTAATAATCCCTTTTTAAAATATTTGGTCACTCTCTTCCACGGCTGTTTGTGGGACACTACTGTATGGAATTGGCTGCCGTGTTTCGCCCACAAAGTATACAATCAGTTCATTTTACAGTATATTTTGTGAAGCACTTTGAGACGTCTCAAAGACGTGATAAGGCGCTGAATCAAAATGCACAGATTGTTATTATAAAGTGGACTTTTTCAGAGTATGTGGTCTTTAAGCTTGATCAGATCTGGTAAATGCCACTCTGACATTGTACAGACAGGCTTGCATTTTTATATCGTCTTCTCATAGCAAAACGTCTCGAAACAGCATCAAGCACTCCATATGCTATTTTTTAAATAATGTGTGTGTGGGGGGAGGGTAGGGATGTTTAGTATCTAGGAGTGTGTCAGCCTGGCCAATTTCAGTTGGTAGCATCTTTATCTTTTGAGTCAGAGGGTTGTGAGTTCAAACCCCATATTGAATCTTTGAGCCGTTGTCTGGGCTGATATTCCAGTGCAATGCTGGGGGGTGGTGGGTGGGGGAGCACCACATTGTCAGAAGTTCCATTCATCAGATGAGCCGATAATCTGCACTCCCACTTTCCCTGTTCCAGTCCAGTGGATTGTAAAGATCCCTTGGCACTATTCAAAAAGAGAAGGGATGTGTTGGTTGTTTACTTCATGGCTGTTTGTGGGACATTGTGCTGCTCACATTGTGCTGCTGTATTTGCCTATAAACAAAACAGACACTACACTTCTAAAACATTTTGAGACGTTTTGAGATGCTATAAAAATGTAAAAAAATTTATTATATGTGATTTTAGAATATTCAATGTCAAGCTGTTGAATTTAGACGGAGTCTCGGGGCTTCTGCCATTCATCACTCACTTTGCCAACCTTCAACTGAGAACACAACAACCAGGGTATTGGACAGTGTCGATGACAGATCTGTTGTGGGATTAGCAGCTTTCTAATTTTGCCAACAGCAGAGAATGTGACTTCTTTTACGGAAAGAGAGAGAAAGAAACAGAGGGAGGGGGAGAGAGAGAGATAAATAGGAGGATGAGAAAAAAAANCAGAGGGAGGGAGAGAGAGGTAGAGAGATTGGAGTGAGCTATTCATTTTTAGTTGAGCACTGAGAAATATGCTTGAACTTTCTCTCCCCCACCCGGTTGTATTCTGAATGTGCATTACAAATGTCACTGAAACTGTGACTCAGAAACTGCGAGCACATTGTGTTTCAATTCTTGGGCTGTGTCGTGCTCTGGAGTCTTGCTACTACTAACTTTATTTTTTGTATGTACAACACAACACAACAATACAACATGTATGTGGAATTAAGGAGGCTGCTGAGGCAAAGTTCTAAGAAATTCTCTCTTTCGTTAGTTTTTAGCGTGGATTACAGTGACGATCTGGATATCTTGGTGAGTGGCTCTGCAGATTTCACTGTGAAAGTGTGGGCCTTAGCGACAGGATTGTGTCTGAACACGCTCACTGGACATACTGAGTGGGTGACTAAGGTACTACCACACAGCCACCTTGATTAACAAAATCCCTTCACCCCCTGGCACCTCCCTACCACTCCGACCTGCTCACTCCCCAACCCACTACCTCGCTGCCTCTGCTTGACTGACTGTGCCCTTCTGCTTGTCCCTCATGCCCTTCGTTCCACCCTTCGTTCCACCGTCGGTGACCGCGCTTTCAGCCACTACACCCCAAAACTCTGGAATATTCTTCCTCTATACCTCCGCCTTGCCCCTTCCTTCCCCGTCTTCAGATCCTGCTTGAGGACCTTCCTCTTTGACAGTGCTTACAGTCACCTCCCTCTCCCCCGGCTCGGCATCGCCCTCCGCCACTGTCAACCTCTCTGGGATGCTACCCTGCATGAGGGGCGCTGTGTAAATGCAAGTTGTTGTTGTTGTACAAAAGCACTTTACTCCGGCGTAGGTTAATTGTCTGTTTATATACTTTTATATACTAAAGAAATGGCCACTGGAGACTGTTATCATGTGATTTACTAGTTCACAAGTGTTTACTGAATTCCATATACTGTGTTTTTTTATTTACATTCCCCACCATATCCTTCAATGTTTTTGCTGCTCGGGTAATTACCAGTTCCCTCTTCGATGATTTTACCTTTTGCAATTGCATTCTAAAAAAAAACCTCACCCACAAGTCCGATACAGAGGCACGTGACAGAGTCCCAGCTTTCTTAGTCAAGCGATGCAGACGAACTGTAACACAACTTTTTTGTTGAATTGCGACTCGTTTCTTCCTCACGACTCTTACACCTGTGTTTCCTTCTCCGTGCAGGTGGTTCTGCAGATGAGCCAGGTAGAGTCTGTGCTGCACAATCCAGGGGACTATATTCTGTTAAGTGCTGATAAGTATGAAATCAAGGTAACTTGTTCCTATTGATGGCTCTTAATTTGGTGTTTGATGCATTTTATAAACCTGCAGCTTGCTCCAGAGAACGCTTTGCTTCTCTTTGCTACAAGTTTGACTTAATATTGTGCCAGAATTTTGCACTGTGGTAGTTTGAAACCTTTAAAAAAGACGAGAGACTGGCCTTGATTAACACGTTAGTTAGTTGCCTCCTGTGCTCGTTTGTGCAAACATCTTTATATAAAAGCTGCTACAGTTTGTCTAGTCACCGTGCTGAGTGTTGACTTTTTGTGGTGGAAATTGTTTTTCTCCACAGGTCTGGCCGATCGGAAGAGAGGTCAACTGTAACTGTCTGAAGACCCTCTCGGTCTCGAGCGACCGCAGCATCAGCCTCCAGCCACGGCTGCAGTTTGACGGCAAATCAATTGTGTGTGGGTCTGACCTGGGATTGTATCAATGGGACTTTGCTAGCTACGATATTATCAGGTACGCGGACTGAGCTCCCAACAACAACAACAAGAAGTTACATTTACACAGCGCCTTTCAAGTCAGGAGGACAGTCAGGGATTTGGAGGGCAGAGAGGATAGGGTTAGGAGGGTTCGAAGAGGAGGATCTTGAGCTACAACCTCATTGTTGTAGCCGTGCTTGTTTGCGTACTTAATGAAATTGTTAGGTGCAGAATTTAGCATTTAGGCTACAAGTTGATTTAGAATCTCAGAAAATGCTAATAATGCCAAAGAATGGTAGTGGATTAGTCAGTGATCCAATATTTGGGTAATGCTGGATCCCTGACTGTTTTGGGTTAGAATCATAGAATCCTACAGCATAGGAGGAGGATATTTAACCATGCCTATGTCAACTCTTTGAAAGAGCTATCCAATTAGTCCTACTCCCCCGCTATAGAATCATAGAACCTACAGCACAGAAGGAGGTCATTCAGACAACACAACAACAACTTGCATTTACATAGCGCCCGTCACACTAGACAGCGTCTTGGAGCACTTAACAGTGGCAGAGCCCGATGCTGACAAACTTTCCCGCCGCTTGTCCAGCTAGGATCACCCAACCTTTAGGGCTTTGGCTTGCGAAGTTAGCAAGAGCTGAGTGGGATGACTCCCTGCCCTCAGTGACTGGTCGGCCCTTCCCGGTCCTGCTGATGAGCCAGACCGGGCTGTGCTGCCATCAGCAGCGAGTGCCCTGGAACACTGCGGACCCTGTGGTAACAATAAGTTTGCACATCTTTCAAATGAGAAGAAAATTGGGAAGGCGAAAACGTGAATTGGTTTAATCCTGGAGTATAAGACTCCCGCAGTAAGAGAGCTCTATGGTGGGCAACATCTAACAAGCAGCGATGTTAAAAGGCAAGAGGTGATGGGATTGTTTTTTTTCCCCTCAATGCTGCCGTTGACGGGAGAGCAGGGAGGGATCAGCCCCATTCCTGGGTCTCTCCAGCTCTGGAGCCAACACCAAATTGTTGCGTTGTGTCAAAGTTCAGGGTTAGTGCGTGTGCTTTGATGTGGCTTCGCTGTATAAGTGCAATGAATTCCCGGTTGTTATTCCTTGCTCCAGGGTGATCCGGACTCCCGATTCCACCAACCTTTCCTTGCTGAGCCTAGGAGATGTCTTTGCCCTGCTCTTTGACAACTGCTACCTGTACATAATGGACCTAAGGACAGAGAAGGTGATTGGCCGCTGGCCTCTGCCCGCCTACAGGAAGTCCAAAAGAGGCTCCAGTTTCCTCCCGGGCGAGACGGCCTGGCTCACTGGACTGGACGGCACGAACGATGCTGGCCTGGTATTCGCCACGAGCATGCCAGACCACAGCATCCACTTGGTCTTGTGGAAGGCAAACGGATGAAGGAAAAGCCGGGGAAGGAAGAAGAAAGGGAGAGGAGGAGAAGCGGGGAAGTTGTCTTCGGGAGCTGGAGAAGTGCTTGTTGCTGCTCTTTGTTTAAAAGGACACAGAGGAAACAGCTCCATGCATGAAGAAACATGGCAACTCGTGGCATTGTGGTGTACAGCCCGCTCGCTTGCTCGCCCTTTTTTTTAAAAAAAAGAGAAACCAAACCAGCATGTGGGGAAATATTTTTACAGCTTAAATCCATGTCACTTGCAAGCGGTATTGCACCGATAACGGGGGGAAAACAAACTAATGGTCCGTTGAATTCTTACACGGCTCACTCACTGTTTTAGCAAATTCGTTTACGAGTCAAGGATTTCGAATGTTGTGCTTTTTGGGAGCACAGTTCGAGGAGAGAGAGAGAGAAATTAATGTTTGCAGTAGCCCGAACATTCCCTCAATGCCTTCATTTTTTTCCACATGTGACGATATAGAATATCTTACTTTTTTATATATATGTGTATATATACAGTATATATATCTATCTCCATTCAGGACCTTGCCTTAATGCTTTCATTAGTGATTGCTCTCAAAGAATACAGTCGTTAGAACATAGTAGAGACTTTAAATTTGGCCCATTTTATATTTTGGTATAGTCGGTATTTACAATGATATTTTTATTGAGATTTGCCCATGTCTGTCACACTATGTTAATTATCTCCAATATATTCTTTTCCGAAGGAAATAGTTGGAAATGCTGTAATTTTCTCCGTGTTACTTTGCAAAAAAAAAGCGTCCAAAAAAAAGACTTCTTGTTAAGTTGGGTACAAAGGAAGTTGGAGTAGTGAAGACATTCACTCCGCACACCAGGCTGCTGCTAGCCACTCTGTATGTTCAGATGTGAAGGTTCTCTCTAATGAGGCACTGGAATAAAAGCTACACTGAGAGAGAGGAATGCTGCAGGGATCTTCTTGAATCAATTTGTTTGGCTTCCCATCCCCTTGGATACTCCTGCCAGCCGAGCTCAGCAACGTTCATTGTGGAAGCCATTATGCGGACACTAAATAGCGTCTGCTAAATAGCGTGTTCCGGCTGTAACACTCTATGTATAAATAGCTGTACCAGTTACAGCTTTGCTTCCAACCAAAGGATCCAATATGGAATGTAGAATGACACAGACAGACACACTTATCATTGAAAGGTTTGATTTTCGCTTAGGCATCTTTATAACGATAAATATAAATGTATAATTTATAATCACTGCGACATCCTCCCGACGTGAAAGGTGCTTTAAAAATGTAATTTTATTGCCGCGGCTTGGCTTCGTCTGTGCTCTTTATTTTGTTCCCGTCGCCGCTTGGCCACATGCGTGCTCTGCGACGCAGGATGCCACAGCGCCACGGTCAACCGGCGCGACCGTTGGGTGTAACTGCAGAGAAAAACGTAAAACTCAAATATATTTTAGGAACGATAAGAAATACCCGAACAAATATGTCCATGTCACTTCCAAATGCAAGACCTTTCCGATGAGGTATAAATCATGTCTCTACATCAATTGGTTATTGAGATCCTTCTTGAAGCGCAGACAGACAGGCATTGTCGTTTTATTAATATAAGAAGATATAAAAATCCTCCTGTTTGAATTCCTTGTCTAATTGTCTCTCCTGATTGTGAGGTTAACCGTTGAATGGGACGGATGGTAATGGGGAGATGGGTGGTGTTGCTTTTGCTCTTAACCTTTTGATGAATGGCAGGCAAAGGAGTGAAGAACATAAACAACCGTGGAAGTTTGTTTGTTTTAACAGTGCAGTTGCAGTGAGTGAACTCACTGCTTGTTTATTTAATAATAATAATAATCCTTGCATTTTATATAGCGCCTTATGTCTTCGAGACGTCTCAAAGCGCTTCACAGGATATACAGTAAAGTGTAGTGATTGTATTTTGTGGGCGAAACACGGCACCCAATTGCGCACAGCAGTGTCCTACAAACAGTCGTGGATTCAGTGACCACATTATTGTTTGTTTTTTGAAGGGATTATTACTTCCAGAAATAGTTAGTTTTAATTAGTTACATAGTGACTTGCTGCTTCCTGCAAGATATGCGCAAGAGGCTGAAACTTGAGCACAAATGAATAGTGGTGCTGACCACAATACTGTGTTTAAAGCAGAAGAAAATATAAAGACAGTGTCTGGGATTTTGGAGCTAAGGCTCCAGTTCATTATTGCTTAACCACCATCAGTTTTCACCACCTTTCTCCGAATTGCAGGGGAGAATTGTGATGTGTTATTGAAAATTAATGGTGCTCATTAACAGGTGGTGCTGGGGAGAGGTGAAGGGGTGGTGGGGGGGGGAGAGAGGAGGTAACCAGACGCTAATTAACACATTGACTTGTTCCTCGGAAGATGCCTGCACACTCTGTTACTGGCTTGTGAATCATGGTGTTGGACTGACTGCCAGTTTAAGTCACCCAAGTCAAATCGAGAGCAGTATCATCTAACTGGCGGAGGATTAAAGTGACAGAAATGCAATTTGTGTGGCTGACAGCTGTTGCCCATCGAGCCTCGCATTGTAAGATGTTTACAAGCCAAAGATTCACCTGCAGTAGTGTTTTCTGGCATCATTTTTAGAATTCGGAGTTGATGTTTCCTAAGCAGGAAAAAATGAAGCAGAGTACAGCCATAAGTAACTGCTGTGTACCGAATGGGGGCAGAACAACCTGATCGTCACCTTCTGACTCCACACTGTTCCCGTGAGGTGAAGCACACAATGTGGTCGTCGGTTCAGCGCGTATCCTTAACCCAGCACCACGAGGCCTGTGGTAAACGAGTTTCTCTAATCGTTCATGTCCAAACTACACAATAAATTTGTTACAATCTATTCATTCTTAGCAAAACTATTCAAAGACTGACTGCTTGCTAATTGCAGATCCAATACCAGTGTGTTTCAATAGGTACTGAACAGTCCTGGTTTTCTGTAGGAATGCAGAACACACGTGGGGAATGTGAGACTAACAGAGACTTGCTCTGTCCTCTAATAACGTTCAAATACCGTGCTGAACTTGGGAAAATGCAGCAGGTCAGGCAGCATCTATGGAGAGTGGAAATGAGTTCAGGTCGATAACCTTTTGTCAGAACTCTGAAACGTTCATTTATTTTCCTCTCACCATAGATGCTGCCTGACCTGCTGAGTGAGTGTTCCCAGCCACTTGTGTTTTTTTATTTCAGATTTCCAGCCTCTGTGGTATTTTACCTTTTGTCCTGAACTTTTTGCCTGGTCTGACCCAGCTGTGTTTCCCTTTCAGATCGGATGACTTGTTTCAGTTTGTTACAGGGGCCAAGTGTGACTAGGAAGCTGCTGTTGGCTGTCGTATGGCACTGCGAGCGAGCTCACTGGGGCAGTGAGATGGGCTCAGTAACCACCTTTATCTTCCGGATGTGACGGTGAACAGTGTGTTGGGAGCTGGCAGACTGGCTCCATCCGTGGTTCAACTTCCAACTGCACAGCAAATGTGCTCTGGCCAGTTATTACTGTGAGAGGGACTGAGACTGGGAGTAATGGGAAATATCCACTGGCTTTGCATTTGATTTAGTTAAACAAAGCGCTTTTATTTCACACTGTACAATGACAAAACCCATTACATTCAAGCAAAACCTACAGTACATGGCATCGCAATCTAGACCGGAGCATCTGTTCAGATGCACATTTGGTACCTGTTAATATCTATAAAAGTCACATTACATTGCTTTAGTGGAACCATATAAAATCGGAACAGGATTGTGGAGGATGTCCCTTTGCATCATTTTACCTGCTACAGGTAAAGCCTTGAGCAAGCTTTACCAGCTCTGGTCATCACGAGTCAGATGTTGCCAGGGTGAGCACAGAGATGAATGGGGACAAGTCCCCTCGGACAAGTGGAAAAACAAGTCACCTTGTGGTTTAATGGCACTGAGTATCCCTGGAAACACTGAGTCACTGCTCCACTCGGGTCTGCAACAATACTTCAGTCTCCCATCCACCAAATCACTCGTTTTTTTATTTTATTTTATTCAAAAACTCTGACAATAGCTGTGTTTGGCTTGAGAGGGAGATACACTGTAAAGTGGAGTGACTGTGCATTTTGTGGGTGAACACGGCAACCAATTTACGCACAGTTTTTTATTTGGGGGGCTTGTGGGCCAGGACACTGGGAGAGAGAGGAACTCCCTTCTCTTTTTGAACAGAGCCGCGGGATCTTTAACATCCACCCGGGAGATGGGAGCTTGGTTTAAAGTCTCACCGAAAGGACAGGACCTCCTAGGGCTGCACTGGAGTATCAGTTGGATGATGCGATTCCCTGATCGGGGTACACTGAGCCTCACACCAATGCCTGGTGTTCAACAGCTCCGCCAGACCCCAACCGAGGGGAGACCGACCATCCAACAGTGGGGGGAAAGGTTCAGTCCAACCGTGAACCATATACAAAACTATCGCCCTCCAACATCTGAGAATCCTGCGGAGCAGAGCAGAGGGGCTGACACCACTGCTGATCTTTCACACTGCACTGTGGAACTTAACCCAAACCCGCTCCGAATTGTATCAACACTTGTATCAACCAGCGCCTTGGGACATCCTCCCGACGTGAAAGGCGCTATACAAATGTATTGTATTGTAACACTCCCTCATCTTTTGTAAACAGCAGGCAGATAAATAAATGAGCAACGCAATCGGTCATACATCACTGATTCCATTCATGACAAAGACCTGAATAACTGGTGAGTTATATTATCTCTATTCATAGAACCTGTTCTGTATCGCCACTTCCACACACAACAAATGCGTTCACCATAAAACACTGATAGCTTTTTAGTTGGTAAAGGAAATTTTCCGTATAAATAACTGCACTTAAAAACTGTCCTTTCCCCTGAATGGCGGCGGGAGGGTTGGGGGGGGGGGGGGGGGTGGGGGGGGGAAAGGGTGGGTGTGGGGGGGGGGAGGGTGGGTGGGGGGGGGGGGGGGGTGTTGGCTGAGAGACAACATTAGCAAAGCAAGTCTCCCTCCCTGTTGTTCACCCACACACACACCTCATCCTACAGGCCAGTTTGGCAGCCACATCAGAGCAGATTGCCCTGAGCGCAAAGGCTGACACTGAAAGGGGAAAGGAGATTGTATAAGGAGGAAGAAAATAATAACAAATGGTTTAATAGGAATAATGGAGGAGGAAGAGGAGGAGAGATGAACTTTTCTGGTTTGCTGGAATGTCGAGTTGTGTTCAAACCACATATAAATATGTATAAAAAAAGAAAAGCTCAGTGACCGCAGGTCAGCACGCGCACACGCACACAGACACACCCTGCACACGCACACACAACTCCCACACACATAAGACACCCTGCACACACACACACCACACACACACAGCTCTCTGGCACGAGGCGTCCCAAATCTTCTCAGTGCACTTCATTAAGATAACACAGACAGACAGACAGACAAACAAACAGAAACATTTCACCGATTTCCTACTTAACCTAAAAATGCCTCTCGGTGTAACTGGCTAACACTGTCAGTAGTCTCTTACATGTTAAAAAAAATCTAACACCCAACATGGGCTAACAGTTGATCAGTTTACATTTACGATAAAGCAGCTCGACAATAGGAAACACATTTTTTTTCCTTTTTCTGTTAAAAAAAAGTGATTAGGCAGCAGTTATTATTATACTGTACACAGTTCCCTGGTCAAGTCAACAATGGTTCTCCTTCAAGATCTGCAGGTTCCCTCTCCCTTCTCCCCACCACCCCCACCCCAACCACCCTTTGAAAACCCGGCCCCTGAATCATGCCGCGCCATCCCTCTGCGTGTCTGGCGAGCGGGGCGGGTGGTGGGCGGGTGGGCTGGGGGGCTCAGGAGCAGTTGTTGGCTTCCTACGTCGCGAGAACGTTTTAAGTTTCGTTTCCCAGGTCACACTTGGCAAGCTTCGTTTTTTTTAAAAAAAAGTGCTTCAGGTAAAATTTTGACACTGGCAGTATTTTCGCGCAAGTCATTTCAAAATCTTTTTTCACGGCTTGTCGTCTTGGTCGCCTTTTTCCTAGTTTTTTTTTGATATCTTATAGAATCCGATTTTCTTTGTTCTTTTTTTAAAAAAAAGTTTCCCCGCCCCTCGTCTGGGTTTGGCACTTTAATCACATTTTGCTGTGTGCACTTTGTACCGTCACTCAAATGACATAAGGTTGGTAGGTATCTGAAAATGGCACAAAAAAGAGAGAGGAAGTGATTACACAGATCACTGATAGGCCGTTTCCATTTGTTGGTGAGTTCACACACAGAAGACACACAACAGTTACAGATTTAATAAACGCACACACAAATATAATAATAATTTGTGCATTTGATATAGAGCCTTATCACATCGTCGAGACGTCTCAAAGCGCTTCACAGGATATACTGTAAAGTATATCTTGTGGGAAAAACGCAGCAGCCAATTGCGCACAACAGTGTCGCACAAACAGTCGTGGTTTGAAGTGACCAATTTATTTTGAGGGATTATTACCCCCGGAAAGTGATCCACCAATCGACGAACAAGAAATGAGCAACTCTCGCACTCTCCCTCACACACATTTTACTCCAACAACAACAACTTGCATTTATAGAGCGCCCCTCACATGGGGAAGGGTCCCAGAGCGCGACTCCTATGACTGCAAACCGCCGGACCACAATGGGCTGAATGGCCTCCTGTTCCCCTTCGGTTTCTAAACCTACAAACCAGCGCTCTACACACGTAGGTCACTGGGGACGGGCTCCTACCTGAGGCCGATTGCTTTTGCACGCGTCTTCCAAATGCTTGTGCCATATTATTGCATGAAACCGCGAGCTGGTCTGGAACTTGTAAACGTTGCCTGTGGGGGGCGGGGGGTGGAGACGGAGAGAGAGAGAGAGAGTTGGGGGGGGGCAGTTAGTTACTCTCTGCAGAGAAGGGCTTGGAGACTCAAGCCGTTTATTAATCAGCGCAAAATTGTCCGAAGTGCCACACCCGCAGCGCACGGTAGTGACACGGACACAAACCCCAGCAGCGACCAAGTGACTGGTGACCACACGACGAGTGATAAAGCACACGGAGCGGGAAGTTACACCTGCACACAGCGGCCGATGGGAATGTGGGACCTTCCATCACCTGCCGTCCCTGGGCCAAGGCCATCAATTCCCCTTGTTAAAGGAATATTGAAAGGGGGGGGCGGGCGAGTAGCCGGGCGAGGTTAGAGCAGGTGTCTCGTGTAGAGCAAAGCCCCCGGGATGGGGGAAGAGGTTGGGGTGGGGCAGCGAATGGGTTGGGCTGAGTGGACAGGGTGAGGGGGTGGGGTGGGAGGAACAGGTGGGGTGAGGGTTGGGGGTTCCGGGCTGGGTTACACACCTTTGTCGGGGTTGTTCAGCTGGAAGATGTCCGGGTGCTGGTGGTCATCGGGCAGCACCACCATCCAGCCCGCGATCGACACCTTCTTACTGGCCGTGGACTTAAACTGTCAACACACAGCAATCACAGCTACTTATAACACACTCACACACACACACCATCTCACACTCACACACACACCATCTCACACTCACACACACACCATCTCACACTCACACGCACACCATCTCACACTCACACACACCATTTCACATACACACACCATCTCACACTTACACACACTATCTCGCACTTACACTCACACACACCTTCTCACACTTACACACCTACACTCACACATACCATCTCACATTTACCCACACTCACCCACACTAACACGCAGACTCACACTTACACTCAAAACGCTCGAACACAAATTCACACTCACGCACAAACTGAGACTTACCTCACACACTCACGCTTACACACACTTTTAGGCACATCCTCTCTCACACCAACTCTCTCTCACAAATATTTTAGAAACTCCTTAATATATTAACATCACAATTTTTCTGGGGGGGGGTTCAGCCGGGTGTCTCTCGTGTGCGAAAACCCGCTTAAGAGCATCCAAACCCAACTGAGATTTCCATACATCCCTCCCACACATGGAAATTCCAGAGATAGATTGTTGGAATGAGATGCGCTCTCTCTCTCTCGTTTTCTCTCCCTAGAGGGATGCCCCCTGCTTACCTAATTCCGGAGAGCATTAGGCGCAGGCTGGCAAGAGCCAAGGCTTAGGGGGGGGGACCCCAGAGTGTGCGTTGGGGTAACTGCGGGAGTCTAACCAGCTAAAACCACATAGTTTGTCATTCAGAGCACTGTCTGTGAAGCTTTCCCGCTGCTTGTCCAGTTAGGACCACCCAACCCGTTAGGGCTTTGGTTTGCAGGGTTAGCAGGAGCTGAGTGGGATGACTCCCCGCCCCCCAGTGACTGGTCGGCCCTCCAGGTCCTGCCGATGAGCCAGACCGGGCTGTGTGCCATCAGCAGCAAGTGCCCTGGAACGCTGCGGACCCTCCTGGCTCAGGACCCGGGCCGGAGACCGGCACAGAGGGCTGACTCCATTCCCACATTCCTTTGCAAAATATGTCGGAGCCACAATATTAATAATTGTAAAATGACATGAATAAACCTGACCAGGTTAATCTAACCCACGTTGTCAGGTCGATGTGTATTTGTTGAACTCACGTGTTTTCGCTCGGAGGCGCGCAAGGTTTTTGCGGAGTAATAAAGGAGCAGAGACCCCGACAGGATCAGCCAGTAACGTGTCCACGAGGCCATCTGAAACCGGGGGAGGGGGGGAGGGGTGGGGGATGGGGAGGGCAATGTGGGCTCAGGTTATTCTGATTTCTTACACTTTGCTTAGTTTATCACCTTTTGTACAGCTGGTTTCTCTGTGTGTGTACTTTTATGTGTGTATGTACATGTGTGTGTGTATGTATATGGCTGTGTGTGTGTGTACGTGTGTCCGTATGGCTGTGTGTGCGTATACGTGTGTATTTACATGTCTGTGTACGTGTGTGTATGTGTGACCGTGTGTGTGTACCTGTGTGCGTGTTTGTGTGTGTATACACATGTGTGTGTATGTTTGGCGGTGTGTGTGTATGTCTGGTGGTGTGTGTGTATGTGGGAGGCGGCTGCATATGTGTACGTGTGTGTATACACGTGTGTGTATGTATGGCTCTGTATGTGTGTGCGCACATGTGTAGCTGTGTGTGTATACACGTGTGTGTGTGTACATGTGTGTGTATGTATGGCTCTGGGTGTGTGTGTGTGTATGCATGGCTGTATGTGTGTGCGCGGGAGGCGGTTTTGTGTGTGTGTGTGTATACACACAGGTGCGTGTATGTATGACTGTGTGTATTTGTGTGTGTGCGCATGTGTAGCTGTGTGTGGGGTATACACGTGTGTGTGTGTGTGTATATGTGGCTCTGGGTGTGTGTGTGTACGTGCGTGTTTGTGTGTGTTTCATATTGAGGGAAATATAACATGTGCATAGACTGAATCAAGTCAAACAGCTGAACAGGGTTATGATTTGAAAGCAATTGCCACAAGAGGGAAGCACTAGTCTGTTTATTGATGAATTTCTCTGATTAAATCTGTCTCCCACTCGCTGACTCTCATTTTCTCTCACTTTCACTCTCTCCCACTATCTCTCTTGCTGTCTGTCTTTCACTTTCTATCTCTCACTCTGTCTCTCACTTTCTCTCTATCGCTCAGCCATTCACTTTCTCTCTATCGCGCAGTCTCTCATTTTCCCTCTTTCGCTCTATCTTTCTGTCTCTCTCTCTCTTGCTCTGTCTCTCACTTTCTCTCCTCCGAGTGTAACAAGTTATTTGCTGTTGTCAGGAACACGCAACTTTAACCCTCCCCGATCTCCCCCGACTGCTCCCACCCCCCTCCGCCTCTCCGCAGACCCCTGGCGGGGAGTCGGTCGCTGACTGGCACTCACCGTGGGTTTCTTGCCCTCCTTCAGCAGTGTTTTGCGGCGTAGGGGGCCCTGTATGGTGATGGTCCCAGCAACGCCCGAGAGAGAGCAGCCGCACGCCCCTGAGGGACTGGCAAAGAGAGCGAGCGATCAATTAGCGTTCTCCCCCAAACCGGGCCTCAGTGACCCCCTAAAACCAGCCGGTCAGTGTAGCCCAACAACAGTAAACCTCACATAAGTGCTAACAGTTGGGATCATTTATTGAATACGACTTCTGCAAAGTTACGTCAAACTTGCACGGAATAATAATAATAATAATCCTTGCATTTGACCCAGCGCCTCATCACGTCGTTGAGACGACTCAAAGCGCTTCGCGGAATACACTGTAATTCCGCGGTGGGTGGAGGGGGAATGGCCTGTTGCGTTCATCCCTGCGTCACACTCAGCCCCCAGGATCGATTCCCTCTGCCCAGTGTTGAGGGATGTTTTTTTTAGCCGCGACGTAAAACCTCGAGGTATCGTCAGAAGAAAAAATAAAACACTGTAACACACCCTCACACACGCCATTGGAAATGGCGTGTGTGAGGGTGTGTTATCGTGTTTTATAACACACCCTTCAGGGTTAGAAGTCCCGGGTTATTTATCTCCCAGCGACTGACAGTATATCTGGGGCTCAGGGGATGGGATTTACACCGAGGCAACAGACATAACACAAGCCTGGGGTATCACACATCACACACGCGCACGCATACACGCACACGCAGGCTGCATCGCCTGGCTTCAGACTTCACAGTGAGTCACAGCAAGGGCGCAGCACATGTTAACTCACGACAGCCGTCTGTCTCCACGCAACAGCGCTGCACACGGCTACACACACATCCACATACACTACGCACACAAACATACACACAACACAGACAGACACACACATACACATACAGACACACATACACACACACAGACAGACACACATACACACACACAGACAGACACACATACACATACAGACAGACACACGTACACACACACAGACAGACACACATACACACACACAGACAGACAGACACACATACACACACACAAACAGACAGACACACATACACAATACAGACAGACACACATACACACATACAGACGGACAGACACACATACACAATACAGACAGACACACATACACACACACAGATGGACAGACACACATACACAATACAGACAGACACACATACACACACACAGACAGACACACATACACATACAGACAGACATACGTACACACACACAGACAGACCCACATACACACACACAGACAGACAGACACACATACACACACGTTACATGGGACTGAGATTTACAGGGGATTGTTAATGGCTCGCGCCTGCTGACAGTTAATGTTCCGTGATGGAATACCAGGCGAGACGACATCTTGAACACATTTCTGCTGAGGTTGTTCCCTTTGCTGATCTCACTCATGTCGAGCACCTTGTTTTGAGGTCATTTTACATCTGTGTTTTGTTTCCGACTTTGAGACTCAAATAAATGGTCTCCCACCGGCACTGACCAGCTCGGACCCCTCAAAACAGGTCCGTTTGTGGCACGCTGCCGTGCGCAACTGGTTGCCGCGTTTCGCCGACAAAATACGCCCTCACTACACTTGACGGTATATTCTGCGAAGCGTTTTTAGACGTCTCGACGACGTGATAAGGCGCTGTATGAAATGCAAGGACTATGATTAAGTAAAAGGTTGGGTGTCGGTGTAACTTGTTGTTGTTTTTGCTGGTGGGCGTGAGTTTGGAATGGAATGGCAGCGAGAGCGGGGGGGAGCGGGGTGGGGGGGGAGAGGGGGGGGAGAGAGGGGGAGATGGGGTACCTGGTGACGTTACAATGTTTCCCTGGGGGGTTTCGCACCGACACTCGCCAGTTGGGCCCCAGCGTGGCGTACATACGGCTCCTGCTCGCAAACAGGGGGGAGGGGGAGGGGATGAGGGGTGGGTGGTGGTGGTGGGGGGGGGGGGGGGGGAAGAGAAAAAAAGATCAGTTTATTTCCGCGCACGATGGCGGGAGCGGGAGACGTAACAACAGTGAGATTCGGCCGCAGATGGACGTCCGGTCACACTGACCTGTCCAAACCCGACGACAATTCCTCACTGAAGTCAGAGCTTTGGCTGCTTCCTGCGAAGGAGAATCAATCAATCAATAGCTCAGCCCCTCCCCCCACCAGCTCAGCCCCTCCCCCCACCAGCTCAGCCCCTCCCCCCACCAGCTCAGCCCCTCCCCCCACCAGCTCAGCCCCTCCCCCCACCAGCTCAGCCCCTCCCCCCACCAGCTCAGCCCCTCCCCCCACCAGCTCAGCCCCTCCCCCCACCAGCTCAGCCCCTCCCCCCACCAGCTCAGCCCCCCACCAGCTCAGCCCCACCCCCACCAGCTCAGTCCCCCCCACCAGCTCAGCCCCTCCCCCCCACCAGCTCAGCCCCACCCCCCACCAGCTCAGTCCCGCCCCCCACCAGCTCAGTCCCGCCCCCCACCAGCTCAGCCCCCCCCACCAGCTCAGCCCCACCCCCCCCCACCAGCTCAGCCGCCCCCCACCAGCTCAGTCCCCCCCCCACCAGCTCAGTCCCGCCCCCCACCAGCTCAGCCCCCCCCCACCAGCTCAGCCCAGCCCCCCACCAGCTCAGCCCCACCCCCCCCACCAGCCCCGCCCCCCATCAGCTCAGCCCCACCCCCAGCTCAGCCCCCCCACCAACCCCACCCCCCACCAGCCCCGCCCCCCCCACCAGCGCAGCCCCGCCCCCACCAGCTCAGCCCCACCCCCACCAGCTCAGCCCCCCCCCCCCCCCCAGCTCAGCCCACACCTTCCCTGGCCCCTCCCCCTCCTCAGCCCCACCCCGTGCGCTGTACTTACCGACAGACACCCTGTTGTTGCTGGGGGGGGCCTCCTGGCTGTGGGAGGGGCTGTGACCCTCCAGGACACTGTCGTCCAGCAGGTGTCTGGCCCTCTCCGTGGGGAAGGTGGCACTCTTACTCTCCACCACACTGAGCTGACACATCACACTGCCACCCGGGAGGGGGGAAACACACAGCCATCACCAACACACGCGGGGGCTTGGCCAACCCCTCCCCTCCCCCTCCGCGGCCCCCTCCGCGGCCCCCTCGCTCGTGCTGCCTCCTTCCCTCGCTCTCTCTCCCTCCCTCTCTCTCTCCGTGCCCCCCCTTCCTCAACGGGACCTCCCTGCCCTCAGTCCCGGCCCCCGCCCCCCGGTATGAACCCCACTCTCCACATGACGCCACACTGACCTGGCTCGAGTCTCAACCCTGCCACCCCCCCCCCCCCAATACTTCCCCACCCCCACCCGTTCCCTTCCTCCTTCCCTCTCCCCCACCCTCTCCGGCCTCGGTCGCGTCACCCACTTGTTGCCGAGGCTGTGGCTTTTGCGGTGACGGGGGACGGGGGGTGTGGAGAAGCCGCCGGAGACCGAGGTGTCTGGGCAGGTGGGTCTGCGGCTGTACCTCACCCAGGCCGACACTTCCGAGGGTCCTGAAACAACAACAACAAGATGACAACCTGTCATTAGTAATAATGATAATAATAATAATAATAATCCTTGCACTTGATACAGCGCCTCATCACGTCTCAAAGCGCTTCACAGGAAAGTGTGAAGTGTAGTGGCTGTGTATTTGGGGAGCGGGGGGGGGGGGGGGGGGGGAGGGGGGAATGTGACCAAATTATTATTTTTCATTTAAAATTAAATCAAACGGCAGCAACAACATCGACAACTTGTTATTTAGACAGGGACTATCAAGTCACGTTAGGGCAGGGTCTCGGAGCACTGCATGGTGGAGGGAGGAGGGGGAGAGGGGGGAGGGAGGAGGGGGAGAGGGGTGAGGGAGGAGGGGGAGGAGGAGAGGGGGAGGGAGGAGGGGGGAGGGAGGGGAGGGGGAGAGGGGGAGGGGGAGAGGGGGGGAGGGAGAGGGGGGAGGGAGGAGGGGGGAGGGGGAGAGGGGGGGAGGGAGGAGGGGGGGAGGGGGAGGGAGGAGGGGGGGAGGGAGGAGGGGGGGAGAGGGGGAGGGAGGAGGGGAGGGGGAGGGAGGAGGGGGAGGAGGAGAGGGGGAGGGAGGAGGGGGGAGGGGAGAGGGGGAGGGGGAGAGGGGGGAGGGAGGAGGGGGGAGGGGAGAGGGGGGAGGGAGGAGAGGGGGGGAGAGGGGGGAGGAGGAGGGGGAGAGGGGAAGGAGGGGGAGAGGGGGAGGAGGGGGAGAGGGGGAGGAGGAAGTCACAGTAGATGCAGTCGATGTGAGTAGGTTTTAAGGTGCCGTGTGGCAGAGATCGAGGCAGGGAGTTAAGCAAATTGGCAGGCGCGTGTGCCTGGTGAGACTACAGACAGTCACTACACTTTACAGTGTATCCCGGCAACGTGGAAGGCGCCATATACAATAAACGTAAACTTGCGTTGTGTCCCGTGAAACGCTTTTGAGACGTGAATGCAGCTTAAAGTCTCTGACAGAGCCTCTGACACTGAGTCAGTCTGAACACCACCTGAGCCGTTTACACAACACATGAGGATGTATTCCGGGTGTTATATTATATTAAAACGCGTGTCCTATAAGTTGCCGCTGCCCTTTGCGTCGCAATCAGCGGTGAAATCAAGCTGCCACCCTCCCACACCCAGGTGAGAAGTGTCCGTACGTGTTAGACACCCGGCTGACACCCCCCCCCCCACCCACCGCCACCAAAAAATATATCTGTGGGATCTTTTAAACGTCTAACAAAACTGGCCTTGTTGTTGGTGGTGGTGGGTGGGTGGGGGTGGTGGGGGGGGTGGCGAGGGGGGGGTCGGTGGTGGGGGGAGGGCAGACGATGGGGATTTTAATCTGACTCAAAAGAACGCAGCCGGAGTCTGAGTGGGTTAATCAACCTCAGGCTGTTGGAACTGTTCCTTTGCCCACAAGCTTCTGGTGCTGTGCTGCAGTTTCCTGGTGTTTGCTCTGTGGTTTGGACAGTGGGGGGGGTGGGGGGGGTGAGGGGGGACGACGTGTATTATACGACGTGCTGTATTAGTGATGGCACATAGTGTCCAGACAGACGGTCAGAGACGGGCAGACAAGGCGGTGATTATGGTTTTCCATCAATTTGTGTTAGTTCGAGTCATCAAAAACAGAATTTTTTTTCGTGTGACTGCCCGCGGAGCGCATTCTGGCCCCAGGGGGTGAACACACTGAGCACTTGTCGGGGGCTTTCAACACACTCAGGGGATAGTCACTCGAGCCAAGGAAGGGTCAGATGTTAAGGATGTCTCCTCTGACCTCTTGTCACAACAACAACAACTGACATTTATACAGAGTCTCAAAGCACTTCTCACCATCAACAACAACAACAACCACAACAACAACAACAACAACATGGCGACATGCGGGAAGCTCACTGTGTGCTAAATCAGCTGCTGCCTTCGCCCACATTCACTCACACTCACACACACACTTACACACATACACTCACACATACACACTCACTCACATACACACTCACTCACACATACACACTCACTCACATACACACTCACACTCACTCACACATTCACACTCACTCACATACACACTCACACTCACTCACACATACACACTCCCACATTCACTCACACTCACACGCACTTACACACATACACTCACACATACACACTCACTCACATACACACTCACACTCACTCACACATTCACACTCACTCACATACACACTCACACTCACTCACATACACACTCACACTCACTCACACATTCACACTCACTCACATACACACTCACACATTCACACTCACTCACATACACACTCACACTCATTCACACTCACTCACATACACACTCACACTCACTCACACATACACACTCACTCCCACATTCACTCACACTCACACGCACTTACACACATACACTCACACATACACACTCACTCACATACACACTCACACATACACACTCACACATACACACTCACAAAGCCACACGGTGACTCAATTTTACGGTAAATCATGCAAAGCGCTTTGGGATCTCCTCCCGATGTGAAAGATAACAACAATCATCCTCGCATTTGATACAGCGCCTTATCATGTCGTTGAGACGTCTCAAAGCGCTTCACAGGATACACTGTAAAGCGGAGTGACTGGGTATTTTAGTGGATGAAACGTGACAACCAATTGGGCACAAGCAGTGGAGTGTGTGATTACATTTTTTTTCGTGTGGAGGGATTATTATACCCGGAAAGTGATCCACCAATGGGCCAACGACCAATTGGGTCCTACTTACTGCAAACAGAGCCACGTGTGTGTGGAGTAAGGAAACTTGCCTAAGGTTTCCCTCCTGCCCAGGAACCGAACCCCGGGTCCTCTCGCTGACGCGGCCAACACTCTCACCAC